GGTGAGGTCTCATCTGGACTGCTGAGTCCAGTTCTGGGCTCCTCAGTTCAGGGCAGGCGTGGAGAGCCTGGATTGAACCCAGTGAAGGGCTATGAAGATGATGAGGGACTGGAGCATTTCTCATATGAGGAAAGCTGAGGGAGCTGGGCATGTTCAGCCTGGAGAAACACGTTTTATTTTCAACAAAAGATATGTTAAGGCTGGGTGTCAAGAGGATGAGACCAGACTCTGTTCAGTGGTGCCCAGTGACAGAACAAGGGGTAACAGGCACAAACTTGAAACACAGAAAGTTCCATCTGAATAGGAGAAGAAACTTTATAGTGAGGGTGACAGCACTGGAACAGGCTGCCCAGAGGGTTTGTGGAGTCTCTCTCACTGGAGATATTCAAAAGCTGTCTGGATGTGATCCTGTGCAATCTGTTCTGGGTGAACCTGCTTTAGCAGGGGGGTTGGACTAGATAATTTCCAGAGGTCGTTTCCTACCCCAGCCATTCCATGATTTTGTGTGAATGTTTACCTCTGTGTGCTGAAAGGGTTGTGTGTGGAGGAGGAAGAGATCAGGCATAGTGCCATCTGTCAAGTAAAGCAAGCTGAAAGTAGATTTAATTAAGCCTAGGAGATAGTGTGAGGAAGAAGACAGTTCAATCAAAAAGCTGAGGTCACAAGGGGCTGTTACTTTAAATAACTGCAAAACAGCCTGGAAGTGAGCAATTCTTTTATCTTGGTGCCAGGTAATGTTTGGAGTGGAGAACAGGCAGAGCAGGGAAGGAGAAGAGACAAGCCTACAAACATGTCAGCTTATCCAGGCTTAAATTGTTCCTGAACTATGAGTTCAGTCAGCCTCCCCTCTTGCAAAGGGGAGAGCTTATTGCAGGGCAATAAAGGCGTTTCCTCTGACAGTGTCTGCGATGGAGGATGATTGTGGGGATGGGCACATTCCTGATGAGATTTTGCCGTGTGCGTCTGGATGAGAGCAATCAGCACCCTTTTTTGTCCACACTGTACCATGGGTGAGAGCAGAGCTGGCCTGCAGGCTCTGGTTTCACGGGGTCTGAGGCCAGGGAGAGCCCTGGTGTCCCTAGAGTGGTTATAGTGCTGAGACAGGATGGCTTCTGTGTGCAGTGCTCGCCTGTCACCCGAGGTGAATTACGTCATGTCAGTAATACCAGATCAGTCTGTGTACAATGATAGTTTATTTTCCTTCCTACTGTAACAGATAACATTAAGCTTGTACCAACCTGTTTGATAACCACCAGAAATCCCAGTACAGTGAGATAAGCAATATTTAAGATGTCTTTTTCTTTTTTTCTTTTTTTTTTTCTTTTTTTTTTTCAACCTGAAGCCAGTATATCAGATACTCCTCTTACATGCCCGAGGAGTCAGGTGTGCTAATCTGGTAGGAAATGGTTGGAGTGTCAACTGACAGTGTCTTTCATGTTAAAGTACAGGAGATGGCTTGATCTCCTAATGTCTTTCTGCTGATGCTGGGGTTGGAGGGGTACCAGGGGAGTACTTCTACTAAGGCTGAAGACACAGCTAGTGCTGATCTCTTGTGCTGGAAGTACCATATCATGTAGATAAAAGCAAAGATACAGCCATCAAGTTGAGAGTTTGTATTTCATCTCCTGAAAGAGCCTTCAGATATTGATTCTGTTCTGGGTAAGGAGAGCCTGACCTTTCTTTGAGAATTCAAACTCCAAAGTCTGTTTTTTGCTCACTGAAGTGGAATTTGCTTGGTTTAAACAATGCAAAATGGTTCCAATGCCTGAAGAAGCTGAGAAACTACTTTTGAGTGGGGGTAGAGGAGCTGACTTGGAGCTGGAGTTCTTGAGTTGTCTTTGGTCGGGGGATTCGTTTGGCCCTGAGATCTGAACCTTGCCTTGATGTGCTTTAATATATGAAGAGATTGTGATTTTATTGCTAGAAGTGACTGCTGATAAGCATTGATTAGGTTCCATTGCAGTCTGCTAAATATTGTGGGGTGAGTGTTCTCCAGAACCTACAATTTTCTTGGTTCACGATAGATTTATCTGTAGCACACACAAGATTAGTACTGGATTATAATAATCCCCTTAAATGAATATGAAAAGACAGGTGTTTACTATGCAAAAGTTAACGCTCCCAGTTCTATGCTGCCCTTACACATTGCTTTTCTCCCCTGAACTGCCAAACCTCCAACTTGGTGTTTACAGGGAGCAGAAGTGTAATGGCAGAACAAGTGAAGTCTTTGCAGGGCAGTGTTTAATACAGGTATTGATACTGGTATAAATAGATGCAAACTCCTCTCTGCATTTAAGTCAACCTGACACAGGAAGGTAAAACATTGATCCCAGTCATGCACTGTCCTTGTGTGCCCAATCTGCTTGTGCCCCAGCTCTTCCCCAACACAACACACGCTGAGGTTCTTGTGCTTCATCTGTGCCAACCCATTTCCTTCAGATTTTGACCAGCAGGTACCTCCTGCAAAACTCCAAATCTACAGAGGCAGGTTGTGTTTGTCAAGACTTCAATAACTTTCCTTCTCCAGTTTTGCAGGGAATGGGAAAGGAAAGAGGCTGGGGAATGTTTAAGTAAACAGGTCTTGCTGTTGTTTAGCAGTGAGCCCATTATTAGCTAGACAGGCAGCAGCTTAATTTCACCTTCTAGTGTCCCTTAAAAACTGTTAGAGAAGCTTTACCTGAACCACAAAAGCTGTCAACACCTGGGCAAGGAGCTTGGGTTTCTGTGAGGTTTCTGCCATGCACAACTAACTGACTTTCCTTTTGCTTTGGTGGAGTCTGGGGTGGAGGGAAAGCTGACAGCTGAGGGCAGCTGCTGGGCTTGAGACACCTCTGCAGATGTCCCCTCAAATACCTTGTTTCCAGTATGATGCTGAAGTCTCTGTCCAGGTCTTGTCTCAAGGCCACCGTTACATGTTTCAGTTCCTGTCATGATGGGACCCATCCAGCAGCTCAGGGAGTGTTGGGCAGGGATGATCCTCATGCTTTTATTCTAGAAGCACAGCAGTGTCCTAAACGTGGTGGTGATGGAAATGGCCACTCTTCTGCCTTCATTGTGCTAGTGTCAAAGCCACCAGCTGGCTGCTTGCATGTGCTTATCTAAAGCAGAGCTGAAACTGCGAGAGAAATCTCAGGGGTTGAAAAGAGTCAGGAGGAATTAAAGCTGCCATCTAAAGTCATCTTTGTGAACTGATCAGCCTGAGACTTAAATGGGAGATGGTTTTTTCTTTAAGGGTAAAACTCATCCACAGCAGATGGCTTAGTAGCTGGGGTGGTTTTGCAGGCTGATGGTGATGTTTCATTAACAGGAATCCCTGTGCTGTGTCTTGTGTTGCGTGTAACCACAAACTATATTTACTGTGAGACATGCAGAAACGAAGGGAAATAGGGCAGACCAAGCCTTTTTTTTTGGCAGGCTTTTTATTTTCTCATTGTTTTAGCCTGATCTTTCACACTTTCTTCCATGCTTATGAAAGCGTGTCTCAGCTGCTGACTTGACCCATGCTTAATTCTTTGCTTGCTCCTAACACCTGACTCCGGCTCATTTTCTCACTCATGTATAAGCCCTAGTTCATCTTAAAGGACAGTAGTTGCAGCTTGAGTGATTTTTATTTTTTTAATTATTTTTTCCTCTCTTCTGTGTGATGTCCTTCTCATTAAACTTTAGTTGCACTAAGGAGAGTTGCTTGCCATGCTGCATCACAGACTTTATGTGAACAGGCTGGAAAACTAATGAGCACTTTCTCCAATGACAGCCTTTGTGATTTAGCACCATTTCTCGTTTTTTGGTAGCTGAAAGTTGGATATGGTTTCTCTTAGCAGAGGGACAAACGATTAGTCTCCCCATAAAAGTGTCTGGCTGGGTTTGGTTTAGCTAAAAATAGCACTTCCATAACAGTCTTCCTTCCTCCACCATGCAATGTATATTATCAGTCTTGTGCAGGTGATGGTTTAATGCAGTGGGACTCCTGACTGGCTCATCTTCAAATCTATTTTTTCTCGTATTTAATTTAGAGAGATACCAGTGATAATTTACTCATCTCCCTTTTTCTCCATTTTTGTTTGTTTGCTTGTTTGTTTTTTGTTTGTTTTGATTTTTTATCTTTACCTCTTAGGAGCCTCTCTGTTACACTGGGACTGTCTGAAGTTCCTGCAAATGGTATTAAGTGTCCTCAAACCCTTGTATGTCACTGAAAGGAAAGCAGTTTTTTTTTGGTCTGTGCTTGGGGACTGGAGTTGGTTGAAATTTCTTCCTACCATAAAATCCTTGGTTCTTTTGACTTGTCATGGTGTTCAACTGAGTGATTAAAACCTGTTGTTAAAATCAGGATGGTGTTTGCCATCTTGCCATCAATGATTAAAAGCTGAGCATACCTCTCTCCATATTTGCTTCCCTCTGAATTTGCATTAGAAAAATCACAAAAACATTTATAGTTCACAACCAAATTTCACTCAAATCATTTCTCAGTTGCTGCTGAGAATACAGAAGCAAAGGCTAATCTATGGCTTTGACTGCTCAGTGTCTGGGGAAGTACTCAACAGTACTGTCAGATTTAGAAAAGAGGTGTTAAGAAGTGGCAGCTGAGCAGGAAGGGAGTCGGATCCATTACAGGAAGCAATCCCCACACAGATACTGCAATCCTCAGTGACCTCACTCTGTAGAGGATTTATTTTTAACTTCATGTAGTTCAAAGGCATGTTAAAATGTAAATCACCAAAGTGTGTCTAAATAGGACAATGAGTGTCCTATATAGGAGTGAGGAGTGCTGTGAGGATGAGTGAATTCTAAACATGCTCTAAATATGCAGCTCACAGGTAATTGGACGTACCTTTCAGCTGGACAAGCTTATGTGATGTCACTTACTCCATCAGCTCAGGCTGAATCTGCAAATACCAGTTAGAAACTCCCCACAGTCTTTACTGTAGCACTTAAACTGCAACACCTAAGACACTGACACTACACCTGGTAACTGTTACATGGATTCCCCTTCTCCTTTGCAGGTGCTGAAAAGATTGTTGCAATTATGATCGGCAACCTGAAAGGCATGGAGATCCTACGGCGGATTCAGAGCGGCATGAAAGTGACAATGCTCATCGAGGTGGGGAAAAAGCGCAGCCTCTCCATGAATATCTTCACCATCCTCTTCATCTCGGTGTCGTTTTTCGTTGTTGCAGCAGCAACCTTGGGCTGCTACGTCTCTTACTCTGCTCGGAGACTCATTGTTGCAAGGGCCCAGTCCAGGGAGCAGGTGAGTCTGTGCCATTGCTTTTTTTTTTTTGATATCCTCAGGTGGATCTTGAGGGCAAAATACTGGTTAAACTCCAAAATGACTGAATTTGTTTGTTCCACAGGAAGAAATGTGATCTTTAAAGTACTAAGATATACACCTTTCAACAGCTTAAAACCTTCCTAAAGAATAGCAAAAAGTAAACTGTCTGGAGAAAACAGTTGACTGTGTTTAGCTGACTGTGTCTCCTACAAATTTTAGGCCCTGAACTGCAGTGCAGCCGTAATGCTGATGTATTGGAGGCTGTGAGAGCTAAACTGCTCTTAGCTGACCCTCACCCTTCCCACATGGGACTGTTGTAACCTCTGCTTGCATTGGATCACTTCTGGGTGTTACCATATTGGGAATATGTTTTTCCTTTTATTTTGGCTTGAGAGAAAGGAGACTTCAGTGTTCTCTGAAGCAATCTCTCGTCTTATAGCCAGTCAGGCTGTTCAGAACCTTCAAATTTCGCCATTGGGGTGGTTTGATCACATATAACCCAGGCTTTAAACGTGCTCTCTGTTGTAGACTTTTGAAGGCAGCAGCTGTCTCTCACTCTGCTTGAGCAGCAATTGCATGGAAGTCACTAATGTGGTTTCTTTAGAAAGTTGAGTGACTGTTGAGAAGAGCCAGTCACTGTTGTCTTCTGCTCCAAGTGAAAAGAGAAGTTTAGTATCATGTATGTCTCTGCCACAGTTAGTTAAAACAGAGTGGCTCTTTCCTCATGAGCTATCTAGCTAAACTGTTTGCAACCTGCATCTTGAATGCATCTTTTCTTCTGGGCTTGAAATTTAAGTCCCCACCTCTGCAGTCTCTTACTGCATCATGTGGTTAGTGAGCAAAGACAAGTGTGGTAGGATGGCTTGCTAACTTTTTAGTCAGCGGAGCACTGACAAATTCAGTTCCCTAATATAGCAACCTTTCTTAATAATGCAGAATGGCCCATGATATTATCAGTGACCTGGTTTCTAATTTCAGCTCAAATCTTTGCTTCCATTGATTTCATAAAGATTAGATGTTGCAGCTGAGAAATTACCTAACTAATGGCTTTGGAGGAGGTGGGTTGCTCAACTTTCTACAATTTAGAACTGTGTTCATGGCAGTAGCTACCTGTGGGGAAGGACTTCCTTAGCTTCCAGGAGAAAAGCAGGAGTTCCTGACCTCCTTAGAACTTTCTTGCCTGTGTTGCCATGACCATGTTCCCAGGGTGCCAGGAAGGCACTCTGCCCCCTTATGCAGAAAGGGCTGAAGGTAAAATTAGCAGCGTTGGACTGGGGGAGGCTGAGGACTAAGTGACTCCAAACCTAATCTTCCCAATTAGGTACCTCACTACTTCAACATGCCAGAGCCTGGATAGGAGCTGGGACCTGACCTGTTTTGAAATATCTTGATTCTTTTTCCTAAACTTAGCTATTTTTTCCTAAAGTTTCTGGGTTGTGACTTTTAGAATTCTAACATAATTAACATTTAACGTTTTCTTGAAAAACTTGGCTTTGCAAAATGCTTTGACGTTCCAAGCTCAAGTATCCTGGTAGACTATTCAATAACATTCTTCCTCTTGCTTCCTTTCTCCATCCCCTGGAGGGTGTTCTGCTGTACTTGCCAAAATCAATGTTAAAGGTGACTTTGCCACTGGTGCATTTAATGAAGAGCAATTAAACTGGTGCCTATGCAAAACTTAAATTATTGTTTCGGTAAATTATTAACAATGCAACCACTTGGGTCCTGTCTAATATGCTTGGCCTGACATGAGATGTGTAGATGAGATACCAAATGAGGGAGTACATTCCTAGAAAGTTTAGTTTTCATTTAATAACAAGTAGTGGTGACAGTTCTGGCTGTGTATGAGAAGTAGTAATATTGCTGCATTCTTCCTCTGTTGATGTTACCACATGTTGATTTTTACCACATTTGCTGCTCAGACTTCTAGGGGCCTCAGTAAAGAGCTTCTCTCTCAAACACTGACAGGGAGAACATCAGTCCAGAGTTAATCATAACATATATTCATGTCTTCAGCAAAAGCTTCCAGGAAAACTCATGTAATTCTTGTTCGTACAAAAATATGACTGAAAATGTGTTTGCATCCTTTACCTTTGGATTCTACCTGTCTCTTCCTTGATAGTTGACAATAATTATCAGCTATTAAACTCTCCAAAGCCTGCACATGGATGCTCTATTTTAAGTCACAAAACCAATATTGATACACAAATAGCTCATTTTGCACCAGGACTCTTTGACAGTGTCCCAGGGGACGATGTAAATCAAGCTGTTTGCCATTAACTGCTTCAGCACAGGGAATCTTGTGCAGACTTGAATGACCAGTCCATGTGAGTTTGTGTCAGCAGCAGCCTTCCACCCACTCGTCCTTTTGTACTTGTGCCACCAGCACTGCACTTGGAAAAGATTCACGTGACTGGGCTAAAACGCCTAAGGAGGTGGAATGCTGGAAAGCTGACAGTGTGGGGTTCCTGCACAGAGCAGCTGAATTGGAAAGAGGTTTTTTGGTTAGGTGCGAAACAGAAGACTGGTCTGTCCCTGAGGTAAGTGTTGTGCTGGGACAGCACTTCCAGAGCTGCCTGATACGCCTCCATGTCCTGAGGCACTAAATGCACCAGGGAGGGAGAGGACAGTCCTATTCTTTGTGTTGGTGGAACAGCCCCAGCCTGTGACCTTTAAACACAGAGGCTGGCTCCTGGGCTAATTCCAGGGCTGCGTTGACAGCTGGACACCAACAGTTGCTGGGCAAGCCGTAAATCAGTGGAGACAGAGGAGTGCTGAGGGTGTGTTGGTGGTAAGTGGGCTGATCGGTACAGAATCTCTCACCTTTCATCAGGGTGTGACTGTGTGGCAGGAAGGTACCATAAAGTGAGTAAAACTATTGATTGTCGGACTCAGTGTTCGGTCTTCTGTACCAAGTCAGTTTTAAGGCTTCTGTTTGTTTTGGCTGGGTCTAATCTGATCAAGAAGAAACCCTTGTAATTCCTGTGCTTGTGAGAAGGTTAGGTAAAAGCAAAGCAGATGCTAGTGCCTTGTTGGTGCGTCCTCTACTCAGTAACCACATCAGTTGTTGCCTTGAAACAGCAAGGTCATGCTTACTTGGCTTGTTGTGATAACATCTGGGTTCTAAAGCTGTTGCCTGCTTGCTAGTAGGCACCTGGGTAAGTATGAGTAACTCAACAGAAAAATGACCGTGTTTAATTAACCAGGACTGCTTTCTGTCACAGCGACGACTACGGGCCAGGGCTAAGAAGGCCATTGAGGAGATGCAGCTGCGCACCCTGAAGGAAGGGGACAAGGTAGGACTGATCCTATGATCTCATGTATGGTGTGGCACAGCCTTTGCACAGAGCCTGGAGAGCGGTCCACAGTACTGGAGCAGGATGAAGAAGTCTCTCTGAGCCTGTAACTGTTGGTGGCAGAGACAGTTCCTCTTTCAGACCAGGTCCTTTTCCAGGGTGCAAGACTTCCTTATATTCTTATAAATCAGATTATTCTGTTAGCTGCTTGCTTGTAGTCTTGCTGAGGTGAGAGGTCCTAATTTTGCTGGCACGGATGCTTAAAGGTAAACTAGCATATCTAATCAGCTTCCCTGGCTTTTCTTTTTGTAACTAAAAGTGGAGCTAGCAGTTTCTAAACCTCTACAGTACTGCCTCCAGTAATCCAAGCTGAAATTCTAAACCATGGGTTTAAACTTTAAATGCTTCTGTTGAAGTGTCAGCTTGATTGTGAGTAATCCACACAGTGTGTTTATGTAAGATTATATGTGGAAGCATCTTGGATGACTTTAGCTAGACCCTTTTGTCTGCAGTAAATCTGACTGGAGTTCAGAGGAAGCTTTCAAAGTCTGTTAATGCTGGAAATTCACTTCACTGTTTTAGGAAATTGGTCCAGATGGGGATTCCTGTGTTGTGTGCTTTGAACAGTACAAGCCAAACGATGTAATGCGTGTTCTGACTTGCAAGTAAGTTGATCTTCCAAACTGCCCCTTTCCCCCAAATCCATAAGCATGGCTGTTACTTGTTGTTCCTTCTGCTGTGTAGCAAAGCTGATCAAGTTGTTGCACAGCAAGGGTTACAAAAAACACTTGGAAAAATTTTGATGTATGAAAAGTTCTGTAGAACAGCAAAATCCGTAGCTGATGTTGTGTGGTGACACAACTCTCTGTCAAACACTGTCAAACCTGAACTGGAGTTCCCTTTGCACCAGGTTACAGTTTTGCAAAGGCTTTCTCTGCTTCCAAGCAGTAGGACCTCTTAAGCTCTTTTGATAACACAAAGTTGATTTCCTAAGGTGTTATCAACTAACTTCCTTGATCTAATGCCTAATACTTTAGAAAAAACAAAACTGAATAAGCTTTCAGGCATGTGTGAATGATTAATCTGTTGTCTTGTCATGTTTATGCTCGTGGGTAGTCTTGCTTAGTAATGGACTAAGTGCCACAAGTACAGAAACTTTTGAACAAGCTCCAGATACTTCTGGCTGATAGGAGACCTGACTTCTCATTATTTCCCTATGAACTCTGCTAATCTTGGTATGAACTTGCAAACAAAGCATCACTTTTGGGGGTAAGAGTGGAGTAACTTCTTCTGAGCTTTGCTGCATTATGCTTTGCTCTAAGACTGCTTTTCCATACACTTGTGATGTTTCATTCCTCCCGGACCCAAATGCAGCTCTAAGAGGCACATGCTTGAGATGACTGGATGGGCTTGATAATCTTCACCGGTGGTGATCTCTGCCAGTATCAACCATTTTAAATTCTCTCTCACATGACTTATAAACTGATATTTACTGCAAGAACACACTTGATTTTGATGGTTAACCTCAACACTGAGACTTTATTTGTATCTATGAAGGAAGCAAGCAATCAAATGCTCCTGTGAGTCATTCTGGTGGTATCTGAGTCCCTGGGGTGTGGGTATTTGCCAAGGGCATTCTTGTCCAGAGAGTCAAACTGAAGGCATTTATAGTTGCAGATACACAAGTCCAGTGTTAAATCCAAGGAAATAGGCATCCAGGAAGTTTCAGGTTGTACTGTAAACATTGAGCTGGTGCAGCTGGAAGGAAGTGCTGGTTATGTGGGCTGAACTGGAGAATCCTTGGATCCTACTGGGCCATAAGCTACTGAGCCCTGGATGTGGTGATCTCTGCACTTGTCTCATAATAGAGCTGATTAATATTGAGCAGTGCCTGTCTGCCTTGCTGTTTCTATTCAGGCTGAGGGAACAGGCAGATTACAGGATTTCAAGTCATCCTTCTAAATCTGTGGCCTAATTTAGACCCATTGTGGAAGTGAATGTCTCAATAGAAGCACACATTTGCATCTGTGATGGCTGAACTATATTTACTTTCTTGAGTGTACAGCCTGCCAAATATCCACTTGGAATACACAGTGATTGCACAGACAAAGCAAATGGGTGGGAGCATGAGGACATTACTCTGTGAGATGATTTGTCTATGTAGTTCTAACAGAAACAAGTGCTATTTAGTCATCTGCATCTGCGTGACAGAAGTTAACCTTAAAGCTGAGGCTGAGACATCAGTAATCATATTTAGTTAAATTATCAGCTGGGAATGTGTTTGAAAATGGATTTGGGAAAAAAAAAAAAAGCTTTGGATTGGTGTAGCAAAAATCATAATGCTGAATTCTAGCAAGTTGTATTGAGATACTAATAAGCACAAACCAGCTACAGGCTGAGAGATCAACTATCCATAACTTTCAACTGAAACTTGAGGCAAAATAAGGTTGTCCACTCTAGAAGGAATAAATTCTCACTGTTACCAAAGGGTTCTTCACAGGTGGCATATAAGCTGTCTTCCTGGTATGAAACCTAACCTGTTGGCTACCTTCTTCCACCAGCCATGTCTTCCACAAGACCTGTATTGACCCCTGGCTTCTGGAACATGGGACGTGTCCACTGTGCAAATGTGACATCCTCAAGGTTTTGGGTGTTGAGGTAAGCCAGCAGTCTGTCACAGTGGCAGCTGCCATTATCAGCATTACACTAGGGTAGTAACCACATCTTGAGCTGTTTCTTGCTACCTCTAGAGCACTGGTGATGCCGTGTCAGTGGCCAGATGCTACAGGACTGCTGTGTCCCTTTTAGGGAAAGCTGCAGGTGATCTGGTCTGAGTTGGTATCCCCTAAAGCCTTGGGCAGACCATCAGCCAAAGCTGACAATCATGCATGGAATAATCACTCTTAACTCTTGTGCTTGCAGCTAAGGGTGTTTATCAAAGCTTTAGGCAGACTTTGTTCACTTCCTCAGTACCCAGAGTCCTTGAAAAGTGAATCTGTTAGCATGTACATCATTCCTGGAGCCACACGATTTCCTAGGATACATCAGGAACCTCTGATGTGTCCTGTAATTGCTCATTGCTGCAAGTGCCAGGGGAAACTGCTTTTGCCAATGCCTGACACTGCCTGAACCAGCTAAAATGTATGCCAGAATTTGCCTGGGGGAGTCATGTCTGCATTGAGTGGAAGGAAGACTCTTTTTGTGGTACTGGGCAGTAAATGAGTGAAGAATGCAGAAGCTGTGTCTGAACTTCCTACTCAATTAGACCATAACTGGTTTTCCCCTATGATGTTGGAGGTTAACAGTGGAAATTTTATTCCATTTTAATTTTTTTATCTCTAGGTAAAAGTGCCCTGGACTCAGTCCTTGCAAGCATTGGTCTCCTGGAAAGATGCAGCCTCCTATCAACTTGTAACTTAACCATTTTCTCTTTTTTTTTTTTTTTTTTCTACAAAGATGGATGTAGAAAGACGGTCTGAGTCTGTGCAAGCCTCAGGATCCAGTGGGCAGAGACCTGTATCCACTGTCACCACGGTTAATGAGGACGATAATCTCAGTGAGACAGCGTCATCTGGATATGATTCTGTACAGGGCCCGGATGAATCTGCTCAGGAAGCACATGCACCATCAGAAAGTATGTCTACTTTTTCTTCTGTCTTGCTAGGTTGCCTTGCACTTAGTTGCTTAGGCTGTGAATTAGGAGGAGTTTGCCTCAATAACATCTTGATCTTCTTTTTGATCTGACACTTGATCTTTGTTTTCAAATAAAACACAAACTTAGTGTGAATCAAAAGATGAAGCCTGTGAGAAGAGTAGTTAAAAAAATCAGAGGCTTACTACTTCCAGGGCAAAGAGATTTTTTCCAAAGATGTCCCTCATCTCTTTGTGGAGATTTCATTTGGATGAGTGAGTGTTGCTTTACCACCAGGTCTGTAGTTACTTATTTACAGAAAACTTATGGGGAGTCAGTCCTGCTCTAGTTTAGATGGTGCAGGAGAGGGATGACAGGTACTTCAACTGAATTTCAGATTCTACCAAGGCTGAGTCATCCTTGAACGCTTGCAGGGAATTTGAAATTCAGTTAATTTGAAAAGACTGTCAGCCTCTCCAAATACTTAACCTTTCTGAACAATAGCAAGCTAATTGAAAATGTCTTTTTTTGTACTTAGCTTTGCAAACACAAGCTCAGTGTTGCTGTTGGTGTTAAAAATGGAAAGGTTCCAGGTAAACAAACAAAAGTAGCTATCCCCTGGATTGTGGCATGGCCTTGGGAAGAGGAGTAAGGGGAAAGCTTTTGGAGGTGAAAGGGATGCTCTCTTTCCTGTGGGAAGCCTACTTGATAGGAAATTGTGGGATTTGCTGCCTGCCTCCTGTGTTGATGTGTTGTTACACAGCAGGTGATCTGTGTATGGGAGTGCCCTGTTCCAGCACCCCAGTAGAGCAGAGGACACTTGCTATGAGCTAAGCACCAGAAGCTGAAATTGCATCCCTGTAGGCAACTAGAGTGATGTTGGATTGGTTACATGGCTCAGGTTCTTGTGTATTCTCACTGGGAGTGGAAAGGACACACAGGAACGTCATCTGAAGAAGGTCAATCTGTAGGGACAAGACCTTCCTCTGTGAACCAGTCTGGCCCCCACAGTTTGTCCTGAACCTGGTCTCTAGGAATTGTTCCTGATGCCTGCCTCCAGCAGCCCTAAAGATACAAGAACTGACAGTCCCCTAGTTGGATTTTGTAGCCTCTCAGGGCCTCCTGTGGCTTGAGCACACAACCTCTGCTGACCTGAGCAGGTACCTCTAGAAATGACAGGTAGTGCCAAGAATGGGCTCACAAACTAATTAGGGGCAGAAGGAGAGTGGTATTTGGAGCGTGGCCTTGGATTTCCAGCTCTGTAGGAAAAGTCCTTTCCCAACAACTCTCTGTCAAACACTGTCAAACCTGAACTGGAGTTCCCTTTGCACCAGGTTACAGTTTTGCAAAGTTGTTGGGAAAGGACCACTGCAGTGGGCTTCTGGAAACCAAGTGAGCGTGGTTCACTTTAAGGTAGTAAAGCTGGCTTGTGACACTCCTTAACTTGTCGTGACTTGGTTTTGTTCTGGACAGGTGACAACGCACCTCCTGTAAATGAAGAGTCCCAGCCCTCCACTGTGACTGCCCTTTCACAAGGTGACAACCCAGGTTTTGAGGGAGATGAAACGCCAGTTTCTGAGGGCAGGATCGTTTGTGAAGTCACGCTCTAAGGACGTGCCCAGCAACACGGTGCAAGCCTTCTGCAAGGAGCTGCCTACTGCCATTCCATATTATACCAAAAATTGCAAGACTGTTGCAGAAAATACTGCGTTGGCAATGTTTAGATAAATAGACTTGTTCAAATCATAATTGTATGGTTTGCCTTTCTTAAAACTGCATTTCCCATGTGAGTTTTAGCACTCTTCAGATAAAGGTGTCTTAAATATAAAGAAAACCAGCAGATTCTAACGCTAAAAAAAAAGTTCCATCTTCAACAAAGCTTCTCTTCAGTGTTTGAGCTGTTTAAATGAGAAGATTCTTTATTGTTGTAGCTGTCTCTACTGGGAATCGTTTTGAGTTGGGTTTTTTCGTTGTTTATTGTTTTAATTCAAGTGGATTTTCATTGTAAACAAATTGATTTTGATTTGGTCTAATGCTTATTTACTACACACAGTTTTTTTAAAAACAGCACTGTATTTAACGTTTCAGTGCACTAATTTGATAGGAGAAAGTGCGAACTAATGCTTGTAAAACTGGATTTCGTCCACAGTGTCTTTGGTTCTCTAGTAAACCAACTGATTCTCTACCTCTCAACTCCAACCTGCCAACCACACATTCCTAAAGGGGAAGAAAAGAAAGCTGCAAGCTGACAGGCCAAATCTGACTTGCACAGTACTGTAAAGGGAACAACTCCGGGAACTTTTCAAGCCTTGTTAATGTTAAACAGTCTGAAAGATCCTCAAGTGATTTGGGGACTTATAACCATCTCTAGCACCAGCAACATGCCAGAATCCTGGCTTTGTGGGAGTCTGGGATGACTTCAGAAAGAGTAAATTGAAGATGAAAAGATAGATTCTTCCCAAAGGATCTGCTGTGTTTTGTCCAGAAAACGATCCAGCCTCTGAAAAATGCTGCACTGTTGCCGTGCGTTGTCTTGCTCAAGTGCACAAGCTGCAGGGAGAGCTGACGTCCTGTGAGTGTGACAGAGGGTTGGAGAAGCTGTCTGCCACCTGCGTGGAGTTGGGATGGGGTCAAGGAGGAGCACTGGGTGCCTCAATAGTAAGTGACTTGGCCTTGCCCAGCAAAGGTAACTAAGGACGTCTTACAAATGCACTTTATTTTTTTACCTCTGTCTCTCTGACTAGTTTCTAATATTAGCAGGACTTTGTCTTAAAACCTGCAATAAAGAACTTCAGAATCTGGAGGGGAAAAGCAATGCATTTTATTAGTTGTAGTACAAATTAAATGGTTGTAAATATTTCGTAATTTGTATTGAATTTGAATATGAAAATGTAAATAAAACTCTATTTTTGATGATCCTGACTGACGTGAAATATTACCAGCTCTCATATGGAAGCATATGCTGAGTTTGCTTTATATTTACTCTTTTAAGAGCAACAAACTTACCTTTTCCCCAGTACTCATATTTCTAAGGGTAATGTGGATGCACAAGGAGTGCACTAGTGGAGTGCTAGGGAGTTCAGCATCTCACACTGATGAACCTGTACTGCTGTAGGATCAGGTGATGTGTAAGTGTTCTGTCAAGACATGGGCTTGCTTGGAACTCAGGGCACTTATGCTGATTTTCAGAGAGATATTTAAGACTCTTATATCAATGTGACCTACTGCTAAAGGAACAAATGCAGCATTTGTATCTGTATTTGAGCTAGGTAGAACTTAATGGTTCTCTAGTTTTGCAGCTCAACTTGTGAGTCTGCCATGTTCTTGTCTGTGCAGATTTCTTTGTAACCAGGAGCTATGCAAGGGGCTTTGTTTAAAAATGAAAGTGTTACTTTCATGAACACCATCTGTGATACTGACCTTGGGTCTGTTGCTGTCAGACTGCTTTAAAGAAATTTCAAAGCTCCGCTCTCACTCTGTACTTCCAAGTTTCCACGGATAGCAGCTGTCGTTCTGACCCCTCTTAGGGGACTGTGCAGCAGGTTTTCCATTTGTTTTTGGTGAAGCTACGAGGTTGGAATGGCTCTGGGTCATGTATGAATATATCTGAGCACTGGGGCACGACAGACTCTTTCCTCTAAGCAAGAGGCCAAGAGGAATGTGCCTGAGGATTCCCGAAATGCAGTACAAACCTGTTGTTATTGTGCAGCAGTTTGGGGGTTTGCTACAGATACATTAACTTCGTGTGTAAGATAATGGAAATTATGTGCCCATGAGTTTTAACAGTTGCTAAAATGTCCGCCTGTTGACTCGGTTAATATTCCCGTTGAGTCACACAGACACGTCAATTCTTCTGCCCCCAAAGAGCAAACTGAACAGACTCCAGCATCATCTGGAAGTGTTTACTCACTGCTGTCGCCTCCCTCCCCCAGGAAAGCTCTGATCTAGACACTCCACTTGAACATTTGTGTGCTTTCAAAGGGGACTGGGAATTAATTTTTTTTTTTTTTTTTAATCCCTGCAGGAGTGAAAGCCTCGTCACCTGGTGTTGGATTACTGTGCTGTCTTGTAAACCAAGCTTTACAACAGCAGGACTTCACTTTAAACCCCAAAGCAAAATAACACCACTTTCTAATATTGAGGGAAATTTTCAGCTGTTCCTATAGAAATACAGTTCCTATAGAAATACAGTTTTGCTTAAAGGAAAAAGCAGGACTTATGATGGGGCTGCAAACAATAAAAGCAGTTTGAGTCACAAGGGCAGCTGGACTCTTCCCATAAAATGGAGAGACTTAAGACTATCTCAGTCTTTAGATGGAAAGATCTGCACTTCTCAAGTGACCTAATAACAGTTGGACAGGATACCTTGTCTGTGTGATTTAACATGATTTCCTTGCATGTTTAACACACACCAGCACAGAAGGTAGCCCTGTCTTTTCACCCAGGTTTAAAATGATGTTTTTCCTGTGCAGATTTGAATGGGGCTGCACTCCTGCAGTGGTGTAATGGCTGGCAGGTAGGAAGAGAAACCAAAGAAAATCTACTGGCTTTGGCAATTTAATTTTGGTTTCAAGAGAAACTTGAAACTAAATTACAGCATTCATGCACTGGTTTTTCAGTTGTTAAATATGCAGAGTGCAGCCAACACTTATTTATATAGCTATTTATTTATATGATCTTGACTATGGTTATTTGAGGGAAGTAATTTACAATTTCTAGGAGGTCTTTAATAAGGGAAAGAAAAATTCTGCAGCACTAAATGGATCTTTGTTGCTGTAGAATGCATTGATTAGACTGTAGCATGATTATGCACTGATTAAGAAAGTTTTCAAGTGGCTATAAATAAATTCCTCCAAGCTGATAGAGGGGCACTCTTTGCATCTTAACAGTATTTGATGAAGAATCAAATGGCGGAGGGAACTGGAAAAAAGGAAGGCGTCCAAGACCTTGAAACAAGGAGAGGAAAACAAAACAGACATTTTCCAAGCAGTAGCATTTTTCTGTTAAATATTTATCCAACTAACAAAGTTTGAGTCTTACATATGCAAGCAATGTATGTCCTAACGTGTCCAGCACGTGTGAGTCACCAAAAGCCAAGCTAAAAGAGTAGGAAATGCCAAGGGCATCTCAGAAAATCTGTATTAAGTCCTTAATTTCTTATATCCGAGGGCTTGTCTAATTGTGGACAATCAAATGGTAAACACTCTCTCTGGGAATGCTCTTAGAAGAGCAGGATCCAGGCAGGAACTGTTCTGTTGGTTCAGCTGGTGAATCTGCAGCAATGTCTGTTACTCAGGTAGGGGGATGGAAGAAACTGCCCCACGAAGAGCTGTGTGCCAGTGTGTGTGGGAGTTGTTTGCCTTGTCTCACTAATGTTTGATCTGTGTTAGTTACCACATGCTGGCTAACGACTTCTATTTAATTTTTCCTTTCTAGTAAAGGTAGAGCACCAGAAATTTGTTGCTTCCTATTCTGTTACAAAAACAGATAAGAGAATAGTATTAGCTAAACCTATAGTCAGTGCCAAAGGCAAAACTCTTTAATCCTACAGCTTCTCTTGCTGTGGTGCAATGAGTGATTGAAAGAAAAGAAAAAAAAAGTTTTATGCCAGCTCAATTCACCCAGTTTTGAAGCCTCCCCATGAGTTAAATGTGGCTGCACACTCAGGTCTGCTTTCACACTGGTGCCTTTGAGTAGGTGGTTATTACACAGCTGGAACTGGACAGGTATTGGCAAACAATTTCTGTGAGCGCTTGGCAAAACCTCGCTGTGCCTGTGCTCACAAATAGACTGGTGCTGGCAGCAGCATTTTTGGTAGTGAAGTACTATTGAAAGGCATGAAGGAAGGCAGGATAAAGAGAAAGTGCCAAGATTGCAACCTGTAGTTAGTGCATGATGTGCGCAATTTTTTTTTAGAAAGAGTTTAAATGAGAGGCTGAGTTTAAACAATTGTGTGCTGGATTTTTTTGTATGATACACAATCAATAAAGCATTATCCTTGAAATCTCAGGAAGGTCAGTTATGCTGGAAAGAGAGTGCTAAGGGAAGGAAACTGCAGGGAAGTTCCTGAGAAACAGGAGGATTTATTCAAACCAGATGTAGCAAATGACAGGTTCTGTCAGGACTAGGAGTGAATCTTGCATGGAGGTAGGAAAAGATGGTAACTCTGGGAAGCTCCCAGCATCAGCAACCTGGATTAGAGGAGTCAGTGGGGCTTCCACCCCTGCAAAGCTTTTGTTTGTGCTTTTTGTCAGTACCAAAAGATACCATGTAGGAAGCACAGTGTTTTCAAGTGTAAGGCTTCAGGGAGACATTTGGAGCTCCTTGGGACATAGTGAAGAGATTGGAGAAGAACCAGCAAGAGCAGGGGCTCAGTAACAGGCAGATGGAGCAGCTGGGTGGCTGTGATCCTGACTTTATTGGAAGCTTGGGGTTATGCTGTGCTGACCAGTGTCCATACAAAGCAAGTCCTGAGGTCATCTCACAGCCTTGGGAAGTTCTTGGCTGCCAGGTATCTATGGCAGAATAGTCCTAGCACCTGATTTTTTGAAAGCAGGATGTGAGGGAACTACTCTCTAAATTTGTTCTTTTTGCTGGTGGAGGAGTGGCTGGACATGATCCAGCAATGTGCACTTGGAGCCCAGAAAGCCAAATTTGTCCTGGGCTGCATCCAAAGCAGTGTGGGCAGCAGGTCAAGGCGAGGGTTCTGCTCCTCTACTCTGCTCTGGTGAGACCCCACCTGGAGTGCTGCATCCAGCCCTGGGGTCTCCAGCACAGGAAGGACACTGACCTGCTGGAGGAGGAGGCCAGCAAGATGATTAGAGGGACGGAGCACCTCTCCTGGAAGGAAGGGCTGAGAGAACTGATATTGTTCAGCCTGGCTTCAGGGTGACACAACAGAGGCCTTCCCGTGCTTGAAGGGAGCCTACAAGAAAGGTGAAGAGAGACTTTTAACAGGACAAGGGGGAATGGCTTTAAACTGACAGAGAGCAGATATACAATAGATATTAGGAAGAAACTCTTCCCTGTGAGGGTGGTGAGGCCCTGGCACAGGTTGCCCAGAGGAGCTGTGGCTGCCCCATCCCTGGAAGCGTTCAGGGCCAGGCTGGATGGGGCTTTGAGCAACTTGGTCTAGTGTGAGGTGTCCCCAGCCCATGGCTGGGGGATTGTAACTGGATGAACTTTAAGGTCCCTTCTACCCTAAACCATTTTATGATGATTCAGTGAAATCAGGAGAAGACATCAACAGAGGACTGTAGTAAGAACTGATATGCAAATGCAGTCCTGACGAGTATAAAAGCCACTGCCTTGTTCCTTAACGTGATAAATTGATTTATTCTAGCGCAGAACAACTGCTAAGAGTCAGTCTGCAGATAATCTGAAGAGCCAGTCGTTGAGGGACAAATGCTGAAGGTCTTGCAGGCAAATCATGAGAACACCGAGACCACGAGTCAAGCTGCTGTTAAGGCAAATTAGCACTGAACTGTGCTGAGTGATGGAGGCGGTGAGGCAGATTGCCGTTATGTAACGTGAAAGGTAAACAGGAAACGCTGACCCTCTGTCTGCTCCCGGAGCTGGGGGCTCTGGGGGGCCGTGCTGGGCGCCGCTCACGGATCCCTGCCGGACGGGGGGTTATCCCCGTTTCCCTCCTTGCCCCAGACTCCGCGGCAGCGCCGAGCCAGGAACACGCACCTGGGAGCCAAACACCGTCCGCGGTGACGTCTGTCTGTCTGTCTGTCTGCCTGTCCTGCGGGCTGGGCCAGAACTGAACACGGGGCTTGTGCCACGGGAAGAGCGCCCACAGCAACCTCCGCCCCGCCCGGGGCAGGGGCCGTGTGGGGGAGCGGCACAAGAGTTTATTCTCCCTGCACGCGGGGCACAGCAGGGCCGGGACCACCCGATCCCCGCTCCGGGGACACAGCAGTGCCGGGATTTGCCTCCCGATCCCCGCTCAGGGGGTTCGGCAGTGCCGGGACCCCCCGATCCACAGCGGGCAGCGGGAGCTGCGAGCGGAGCCCTCCATCGCCCGGCCCCCCCCGCTCCGGCAGCGCCGCCACGCGGCCCCGGCCGCGCAGGGCCCGACGGGAGCTGTAGTCCTGAGGCAGCAGCGCCGCGAAGCCCGTTCGGCAGAGAGGACTACAACTCCCATCGTGCCTCGGGGCTCCCCCCACATTCCCCCTCCCCGCTCTCCCCTGCCTGGCACCGCAGCTGCGATCGCGGAGCGGGGCCGGGGCCGGGGCGAAGCGCCGTGAGGGGCCGCGCGATGTGGCTGAAGCCCGAGGAGGTGCTGCTGAAAAATGCCCTCAAGCTGTGGGTGCAGGAGCGCTCCAACCAGTACTTCGTGCTGCAGAGGCGGCGGGGCTACGGCGAGGAGGGCGGAGGCGGGCTGGCAGGTACTGCCAGGGGCAGGGGCAGGGGCAGGGCTGGCGCGGGAGGAGGGCGGTCTGCCGGCCCTGGGACCCCCGCCCAGCGGGGCAGGGAGAGCGCTCGGCCGCGAACGGCAGCCCTGGAGCTTGGTGGATTTCTCCTGGGGCTCTTCTGTCCCTCCTTTCGGCCCCAGGTGCAGCAGAGCCCGGCGGGGGCACCGGGCAGGGCTGGGGCTCGGAGCAGCCCGCACCGCTCCATGGGCAGCCCGGTGGAAGGGGACGCGGCTGGACAAGGACGGATCGGGCTGGCTTTGGCAAAATGCTCGTTTCCAGATCCCTTTTCCTGTGTGTATCTGGGGCTGTTTGAGATGAGCTCCTGCTCAGGCATTTCTGGTCGCTTATTTTAAAAGCGAGTATGTGGTTTGATGGAGCTTGTCGGGAGGGGCGGGTCCGGAAAGTGACAGGGCATTGATCACTGCATAATAAACTTTATTTCATGAGAACTTCAAGGCATGGACCCGAATGTCTGTTTTTAATTCTTGTCTGTTTGTATCATTCGGCACTGCAGGGGCCCCAGCTACCTCTGAGACCTCTGTGGTGGTGGTGGCTATTCTGAGTAGAACCGACTCTTTCATAGTCTGCTGGTGTCTGTCACTGACCCTGTCAAGGAGAAAAGAGCTACAGGGAATCAGCCCAAAGTTCTTCCGCGGTGGGATGTGGTTCTCGAGTGTTTTGCATCTCTCCGGGCTCTCTCTAATTGTGCTATCCTAAAGCAAGCTATGTTAAACATGGGCCAGATTGTCCTGTGGAAACGTTTATTAATTCTGCTGGATGAAACCACAAAGTCCAAACTTCTGGCTGGTGAATTTCTGATGTAGAAATGGCCCTCACAGCTGGAGGTGGGGCATTCTTCATTGGCATCTGAACCACTGGCAGGGCGAATGGAAAGTGTGAAAAGAAAGCATCACAAAACCTCAGGTTGTCTTCTAGGCATATAATAGTATTATAGATAGATGGCTAACGTAAGGCTTTGGCTTAGAACCAAGGATGATATATTGCAGGCTTGGAAGTCTTGTGAGGATCAGGCTTGATGGTCTGTTCTCTGCCTTGATATATTTGGAAGCCAAGGAAATTGATTTGGTATGAAGGTTGTCTTTTTGTGTGATAAAATTCACTTAAGGACTGTGATTAAAATGGAACAATGAGAACTGGAATTAGTTGTTCATCTGAAAACCTCTTCATAGGCTCACAGCTGGGCCTTCCTGGTGCCCTTTGGGTTTTGGTGAAGGTGAGGCTTCTATCACTGCTCTCCTATCCTTGATGGCTTTTGACAATGTGGGAAAAGAACTGGATGCATAGCTGTTGTACTATGCTTTTTTTTTTTATGTTGGCGTTGCATGTTTTATTTCTCTAGCTTTTCTTCTAGACCCTTAACAGATTTCATCTGAGCAAGTTAAGTTTTTCACTGGACAGAAGCAAAAAGAGTGAGATGTCCTTAAGATTAACAAGACAGTTGGATAAAAATGCAGTTACATTTGTGTTTGCAGGTTTTGAAATATTCAAACCTGCTAGATATAAGCCAGCATGATTTGCTATGCCTAAGTTTAATTTGATATTGCTGTGTGTCACTCGAGAAAATTAGAGCTTCCTTTAGGAGAAAGAAAAGCACAGCTGTTGTCTTAGGAAATCATCACAAATGTACCAGTAAAATCATGCGCTCCTGAAGAGCATTTTGCAGCTGGTGAGACAAGGCTGGAGGTGACTGGCAGCACTGAGGGACTGATAGCACTGAGGAGACAGCAGCAAAGGATTCCCCAAAATGCAGGGATACACTTGGTTAGACAGGCTTTAAGGAGGGGAGATGTGAGTTTTGAGGAAGCAGCCAGTATCTGGAGAAAAGTACATACTAAGGAGCAAAAGATAAATGACAGCAGAGACACTTACCTGAAGGAAGGCAGAGAATTCTGGTGCAGTCCTAGATGCAGAATGAAGGCTGCAGTTGGATTTGTTTGGTTGATCCCTTTGGACTGGTAGTTACAGCAGGACCAGTTTGTAATCTGTGGGTGATACAGGGAGCTGTTGTGGCCTGTGTGCACACCCAGCACAGCTCTGAGTTGGCTCGGGTGGGTGACACTGAAACATGTTGGGCTGGTTGTGCTCAGCCTCGGCTCTCTTCCTGCAGATGTGCACCTGCTTAACTTTACATTTCATTCTCTTTCCATTTTAGACCTCCCCTAAGGATACAGGTGCTGTAACCTGTCTGACTGGTTCTCCACTGGATAGTTGTCATATGACAGACTGTCCCAAGGTGTGACTGTGTCCTCTGTTTGTTCTGTCTTCTGCAGAGCCGCTCTGGGAGAGGTGCTCAGGTTTTTCAGAGTGTATGGATAAGAATACAGTCGTGAATGCATGTGCTGTAACCAAAGTCTAATGGAATTGAGCATGCTGGTCACAAAACTCTAGCTTTGGTTCTAGTGCAGGCAGGACCTTGATTAGGAGATGGGGATTTCAGGAGTAGTGATGCGAATGAGCATTTGGTGTCATAAAATTGCAGCCTTGCTTTTGTGAGCAAACAAATTGTTTTCTGTTTGTTTTCTGCTTCCACAGTTTCCATTTTTCTCTTTCTGCTTGACAAAGATGAGTGAAATGCAACTGTGAGAGTAGAAAAACTTAAAAGTGAAATATCTGGTTGGAACTAGTCTTCCCTGCTTGTTATATTGGTGTGCTTAGAAAGGTAGGGAGAACCCTTGCGTTTTACTGTAATTAATTACTGACCTCAAAGGCACTGATACACATTAGAGGAGAGACCAGGCCTGTGCTAACTTTGCTGCAGAAGAGTAGTGCTCTGTTAAAAACAAGACAGAAAGCATGTTTGCTTCTGATTCTTCATCAGTAAAAGGAAACTGATATCAGTGTTTGCATTACACTATTCCCACAAAGGATAGGAAGGAGTCAGATTACTGTAAATAAAGCAGAACCTTAGCAAAAAAAAAGCTGTAACTGATACTATTCTAGGGGAAAAAAATCTTTGAGACTGTGGGTTGAAATGGACCCAAAACTCTGCCAATATTAGTACTCTCTTGATGTGCTTGGTGAAATAAATATTGAAGAACAAAGTGATGTTGCTTCCAAATGGCAAAATGCTGAGCAGTTATTGACATGTAATATATTGACTTTATTGCCCTAACTCGGTACCACTGAGAGCAAAATTCATTGCTGATATGTTTTTGGGGCATGTCTCTGAGCTAATGTTGGTTTTTTGCTAACCAAGTCTTTTATAGACTCCTGTGAAGAACATATCCGTGTTTCAAACCTATTCTTAATTCCCTCTATTTTTTTTTTTCCTAGGGTATTTTACCCTATTTACTGAAGTATCTAAGGTATTTCCCAGTAGTTTTACTCAGGCAGCTAGGAAACTGAAGATGTTTTCTAAAAGCATTTCCCCATAAATACATGTCACCTTCTGTAGGTACAGCTGAAGTTGTTCCCTGAGCGAGACAGAAGGATGATTTAGGTGGAATCCCCAGGAGAGACTGTGGGGTCTCACTTTGAGCAGAGATGAAAGTAGGTGACCCTCTGTAGGTTATCCCTAAAATTGTTTCCCTTTGGAAAATAGCAATCCATCAGAGTGCTTCCTGAGAATCACCCAAGAACTTGAGAGTACAGAAACCCTGACTGATAATAAAGTACTCCAAACACTGGCAGTCATGGAGCACTTTCAGGAGAAGGGTAAGAAGGTGAGTGATCCTCTCCTTATTCCTCACAGTTGTGCCAGCAGCCATAGCCATGGAATTAGTTTGTACTGTACTGAGGGAGTGTTGATAGTCCAAGATCCCATTCCTGGACACAGCAGCACTGACTGGTGGCACCGCTGCAGTGACCTGGTACAGTTTAGTGTGTCTAAAATCCAGTGTCCTTCCAAGCAGACAGAAGCTGTGACGGCATTTTAAGGAGTGCTGCTTTCTAGTGTGCTGCTGTAACCCTTGGCTCAAACTGAGGTGCATTAGCCTTATGAATGCTCAAAAATGTCCTTGTACTGTATATTATAACAGAAAATATTATTAGGAGAATTGTGAATGAAATAATGCTGAAGCAAAGCCAACTTTGAGATCAGCTCAGTGTAATGACTCATTCAGTAAGCCAAAGCTCTTTAAACAGACATAAATGTTGTTACTTATTCAGTGTCTTTCTTCAGTCAGGAACTACAGAATAATTTTACTTTCCTGCAGCAACTTTCAATCTATGAATTGCAGAAAGACCAGAGAGTGTTTTTGTTTGATGTAATGTACTGGTCTATTTTGGTTTTTTGTTGGTTTTGTTTCTTTGTTTGTGTTTGTGGTTTTTTTATAATTATTTACTTCTGTGTTTTTGAAGAGAAGCAAAAGCATTTTGGAACTTGAATAGTCACAGTAAGATAGTCCCACATGCTCTGTGCTGAAGGTGTGTCCTTAGGAAATGCATGCTCTGAGGCTGTGTGTGTAGACATTTCAATTTTGCCATATTTTGCTTTCTTGTATTCTTTTACCATTGCTGTTTTTCAGAATTTGAGAGGGGGTTAATGGAAAGAAAGTGGGCCACAAAGTACAAGAAGCCAACCCAAAATTTCTGAAATAACTTTTCAGGGATGCATTTGAAATTGTCTAAATCTAGTGCTGCTATAGTATATTAAAAGCCAGAATCAAAAGATCATTTTCCATTAAACAGGGAAGGGTATTTAAAGATTTAAAGGTGTTGTAAGTGATATATTAGCTTTGCATGCCAGCTCTCTACCCTAATAGCATTTTTGGGAATACCGTGCATCCATGATCTCAGCAGGTTTGTAGAACAAACTTTACAGCATCTCTGGGTAATTGTGTTATGCTTTTTGGGAATCTCATCTCTTATTTTGCTATTCTTTGGTAGGAGAATAAGAGCCTTGTGTGCTTGCTTCAATAGCTTTGCTTCAGTTGGACTTTCTGATTCTGTGGCCATGCTAGAATGGTGCAAACATAGGAAATACAGGAAAGAAGCATAAGATACTTTTGCTTGTATTTTTGTTTCTGTTGTAACAAGAAAATGTTTTATTTAGCATCAGGAAGCAAAAGCTTATGTTTTTTCTTCAGTATGGATTTTTCTTTTAGAATTCCCTGGTTCTTAGATTTGAAAGGAACTGTTAAGATATCTGGGTTAATATTTTTATTACTATGCAGCGAGAGAGAATGACTTTGCTGGCCAGTATAAAATGCACATTCATTTTCCCAGGAAACGTTTTGCAGTTCTGGAGAGATGAAGTCTGTCTCCTTAATGAAATTAGTATATTTTGTTCTGTATCCTGTTAAATGGAAGCTAATTTAACACTTTCCAGCAGGGAGGTGACATAGCCAATTATGGTCTTCCAACGGCTCTTTCCTGTGACTGGAAAACAGAACAACAGTCAATGACTAATTAAGAGGTAGTTCAATTACTGCCTGTGCTCACTGAATGCTGGGAGCAGCCCTGTTATGTTTCTAGTTGTCCCCTGGTTTCCCACACTGCATGGGCTGTCTCTTCCATGGGGGTCATATCCAAAAACTTTTTCATCCTCGTTGTGTGTCTGTAATGGCTTTTACTGGATCTAAGCATCATCACCTCTCAAAGAAGTTCCTCTGGGAGTACTTTGTGCTCAATTGTGCTTTGTATTTTCTCAGAGTTCATTAGTCCTCACTTGGGCAGCATTCCTGTTCCTTAAGAAACGAGAGAAGAGGGGAGTGTATGTTTCCAGACTTCACTTTGACTGTGCTGTGTACATCTTCTTAAACCCAACAGGTCTCCTGGTGGGAACATTAGATGCAGTGTTGGACTCTACGTCGAAAGTCGCCCCGTTTCGCATCCTGCACCAGACTCCAGACTCTCAGGTCTACTGGTCCATCGCGTGCGGTACGTCCTGGGCTCGTGCAGGGAAAGAGGAGGGTGCAAAGAATGGGGTCAGTTTTTGGGTCAGTCCTCTCGTATCATTATTCGTTCTCATCACCTCTCCTTGGTTTAAAATCATTTGTGAACCTGAGATTGGCAGCAGTGTGTGGTTCCAGTTGTTCGGAATAAACCTATGGGCTCTTCCTCTTACACCGTCTGATCTCCTGCCTTCGCAGGAGTCCATCAGGTACCACGGCCTTTGGGTGCTCACAGAGTGACAGAGGCACAATCTTTTCTCCTGTAAGCTGCAAGTGTAACTTAACACAGTTCAGGGTGGACTCCTAAGGGACAGCTTATCCCAAAGTGTGCTGTAGGTAGGAATAACAGTAACTGCTTATCCTAATACTTCTGTCTGGTTTGTCTTTGCATGTTAAAACAAACCAGGTTCCCAGTCATGATCAGAGCTGAATTATTCCTCATATCAGTTGCTCTTGTAGTATAAACGTTCTTTCTCTTTCTCATGTTGCATTATTAATCAGTAGGAATGGAAAAGTAAATTAACCTTAAGGGTAGAGGATGTGATTTTTTCCTAGGTCATGTTTTTTGATAGTGTGGCAGACAGGGTTTATTTTGTTGTGAGGTTTTTTTGGGGGGTTGGTTGGTTTGGTTTCTTTTTTTTTTTTTTTTTTAAGTTTTTATTTTCACTTTAAGTTTTGCAGCTTCTCCTGAAAATGAAGTCTTAATTGCTTTCTACAGGCTGCTTAATTAATGGCTGTCCAAAGAGACCTCCATTCCCAAAGTTGAGAGGAGCCTTTTATTCTTTGCATGCATCGTTGTTTTTTCTTCTGAGGCATGGTCTTGTGTTCATATTGAAATCAATTAATATTGTCATGTGGTCTAATGCTGAAGAGTCATTGCTGTGGAATTAATCTATTTCTTAAGTTTTTTAAAAGCTCCGAATGCATCTATATTACAGGGAAAGAGAACCGTGTATTTTAGTTAATTTTCCTCACTTTGATGTATTTTAATTAGTAGTGTTCTTTAAGGAAACAAGACTCCATCTAGACTTCTCTGGGCTCTCAGCCTTCCTTTTAGTTGCCTGTGGCAAAAGATGAGCTTTTCAGGAAATCCTGCCATTTTGCAAACACATATGTGCATGATTAATTGCCCTAGGAACAGTTAGGCTGTTGTTACATTGGATTTTGTTGTTATCTCTTTATTAGGAATCTTCAGTGCATCACCTTAAATGAAAACTTGTGCCTCTTGCTGTCTTTTCTATGCAGTTAGCTGTCTGCAAAATACAGATTTGTTCTTGTAGCTTTAATTTAATGTAATTCATTGCATGTCATTTGAAAAGGGCAGCCTTATTAAGCGGATGGAATTTGAACAGTTTGTGAATTGGCAGTAAATACATTTCAGGACCACTTCTGAAGTCATCAGAACTGGTGGTGACAGGCTATCAAAAAGGTACTTTGGGTACATCTATTGGAAGTATACTCTGGGGAATTCTACTGCCATCAGGTCAGCCCTTGGGAAAATACAAAGGGTAGTCTTCATCTTAGGACTGAATTTATGTAAATTCTGTGCCACACAAATATACTTTACACCAAAAGGTTACATAATGTAATTGTACTTTTTGTTAGAAAACAGATTGTTTGTTCCAGGAAGAAATTGATGGGATGACACTTTGTTCCTGCTCTATATATTAAGGATCTGAAACAGTGCTCCTAAGCCATTTAAACAATTATTAAATAGTTTCATCTTTCTTATGTCCCCTATGTGCATCTGATTCACGCTGTGACTCAAATAATTGGTCTACATGGGTAGTCTGAGAAAAAGAATTACTTTTGCTCTTTAATTGCTGTGTTAATTACTCTTCATATAATTTTTAAGTGCTGTTGCAAATCTACCTGGTGTAATACAGTCTGACTATTTAACTGTATTTAGAGCAATTTCTATTCATTCCCAAGGCCACTTTAATTAATTCTGTGGAGTCTGTTGAAAGTTGTTTAATTAGCCTTTAAAAAGTAAGCTGAGAAAAAAGCAATTGTTAAAGGTGTGTTCTTGCTTGGGGGTATTGGTAGCATGTAATTACACTGACTGATTTGATTTGTGAGCATTCTTGTGGAGGATGAAGCTACCAATTAATTTATATTCTAGAATACCTTTATTCAAATCTATATGAATTCTTTCCCTCTCTTTCCCTCTCCCTGTCCCCCAGCATGTGTTGGGGAGTCACCTGTCTTTAAAGCACTGACTCGGCAGTGAATTTGCTGGAACTCTACTGTTACATTCATGTCATCTCAATCTTTGCTGCCTCCTGGTGATGTTTGCTTTACATCCTCACGTGTTAGAGGGGATTTTGCACAGCAGGTCCCAGTCTTGAAGTTCTGATCTGGAAACTGTTATGGGCCAGTGATCAAAGAGCTGAGGATATCAAAGGCCTAGATTTCATTTTCTTCTGAGCCTCATGTGTTTGGTCTCACATTTCCCACATTCTAGGCTATTAGACTGGCAGTGTTGTAGGGATGCTGAGTCTGTGCTGGGGAGGTGCTGCAGAGAGGAAGGGACTGTCAGTCCAAGTCAGGCTTTAGCACCGAGCCCACACAGTGCTGACAAAGCTGTGATGCTTCTGGATCTAAAGGCCAGAAATAGAGCTGCATAAAGGGCTTGAAAGATAAAACCACAGCATTGCACATGTTTAATGTGCACCAAGTACCTTTGCAGTGTACACAAGAGATAACAAGAAATTTGAGACTTGTGATTTGGGCTTGTGTAGCTAAATTACTCTGCAGATCAGGAATTTGCTAAGTATTCTCTTGATTAATACTTTTAGTGAAAGTCTCTTCTGATTTTAAGCAATACTAACTTTCTCTTTTAATCAGGATCCAGCAGAGAAGAAATAACAGAACACTGGGAGTGGTTAGAACACAATGTTATGAAGACTTTATCTGTATTTGATTCAAATGAAGATATTACGAGCTTTGTCCAGGGAAAGATAAGAGTAAGTAATAGGCACGTGACATAATTGGGAAAGCTAACTATTTTTTTTCTCTAACCATACGTGCATAATATGTTCCCTGTAGAATATCCAAGTACAGCATTGTACAGCTGCTTAATTCTGGTTGAATAGTATGTTACTGTTAACTTTAACACACTCCAGTGTTCATGTTTCTCTGCCCTACAGCCAAGTAAGGTTGTTTGACATGTGCTGTGTGTAGGCAGGTGCGTATATGACATGGATGCATATATAAAATAACAGGATTTTTTGTTTTAGGGTTTGATTGCTGAAGAGGGAAAAAGTTCTTTTGTAAAAGAAGATGATCCTGAGAAGTTTCGTGAAGGTCTCATGAAGTTTGAGAAGTGTTTTGGATTACCAGAGCAGGAGAAGTTGATTACCTATTACTCATGCAGTTACTGGAAGGGCAGAGTGCCCTGTCAAGGATGGCTTTATCTCAGTACCAACTTCCTTAGCTTTTACTCATTTTTGCTTGGAGCAGAAGGTAAGTAAGCCTGGATGCTAAGCCTAGTCCCTTCATACTATGCTGCTGTCTTTTAGATTAGGGAGAATTTTTCCCGAGGGAGCTATTTTGCATGTGAGCAGATGTCAACACAGGAGAGAAAAAACTGCCAACATAATTTATGGAAATGAATACATTTGTGTAACTTACTACACAATATCCATTAGTTTGCTTCCTCCATACAAGCTTCAGAAAGAAGACAGACAGTTGCAGTTGACTGTAGCTAAAAGCTGTCCATCATCTTTAGATCATGCTGCATTATTAAGATTACAGTTATGTCTTCACAGACAGGTGCACTACACACTGGTGATAATTGCACATACCTTTTTTTTCCCCTGGTTTCAAACATTAGCTTGAAATGCCCAAACAAATGCCTCAAATAGTGTGAACTGTAACTGTATTTATGTGAAAAATGAAAAGCATAAAGAAAATAGGATGCTTTCAAAGCTAATTTTTGTCTGTACTGGGAGAGGCCATAGCTAATGGTCACAGTTCCTCTGCATGCCAAACGTGGTTGATTTAATTTAGCAGCCCTGTTGGTGAGCTGTTGAAAGGGGTTGGCTCATATGATGGTGTGTGTTTGCCATTTGCAGTTCCACATAAGAGCAAAGAAAACATGGTGTAAGCTTGTATTGTCATACATGGTGTGGCTTTTAATGTTTTTCTTTCTATAAAGTTCATTCTAATGGAATTATTTTTTAGGAAATGTGAGGAGAATGGGTTTTGGGCTTGTTAGTCTGTAGCCCTTTCCAAATGTGCTACCATTTAACTATGTTGCTTTATTATATTTTATTAGTGCTGCTGACTACTGCTTTGCTTTTTTTTCATACAAGAGTAGTAGCTACTGAGAAGTGACTCACATCTCCTTATCTTTGTATTTTCAGTAAAACTTATTATCTCCTGGGATGAGATATCAAGACTTGAGAAGACTTCCAATGTGATTCTGACAGAGAGCATTCATGTATGCTCCCGTGGGGAAGATCATTATTTTTCCATGTTTTTGCACATTAGTGAAACATTCCTTCTCATGGAACAGCTGGCAAACTACGCTGTTAGGAGACTTTTTGACAAGGAAACATTTGAGAATGATCCTGTCCTTCATGACCCTCTGCAAATCACCAAGAGGTGATGTATTGCTTAGAGTTTGTCTATGAGGGCCCAGTACTTGTTTAGGCAAAGGGGAAGAGAATCCTTGTCTCCAGGAGATCTGTAAATGCCAGCAAAGGTGCTGTTCTCTTAACCAAGTGTCTCATTAAAATGTTGGACCACACTGATCCCTAAGTTTGGTAGCAGTGCTGGAGAGGGGTGTTGCTCTACAACCAAAACATTGTTTCCGGCTGCAGTTATCTGTGGAAAATTAGGGTATGGCAGATGTTTACAACATGTGCTGCATTTCTACCTAATTAACCCTCTGTCAGGCCAAAACTGGTTTTAGTTTTAAAGGGATTACTCTGATGTGTGGGGAAACAGAGCAGATCAGGTTGTTAGTATCTTTTTCTGCACTCCCTATAGGCCCTGATTCAGCACAGTGCTTTACTGTGTAAGGACATGATTGAATTTATTCCTGTTCAGTGACGTATTTAAGTATTTTGTTAAGTGGCTGTACAGGTAGGTGTGGTCTGACCCTTTGTTGCCTCTTCAAGCAAAACATTGAACCCTCTAGACTGACCCCATGGATTATGGGAAAGCATGATGTTTTACTGTCTTTTCCCAAGATATTTTTGACTTTTGTATTTGTAAAGACATTTAAAACTCATTTAATTTTTCTTTCCTCTTTCCTGTCTTTTTGTTTTGTTTTGTTTTGTTTTAATCCAGAGGCCTAGAGAGCCGTGCCCACAGTGAGCAGTTTAGTGCATTCTTCAGGCTACCTAAAGAAGAGACCTTGAAGGAAGTTCATGAGTGCTTCTTATGGGTTCCTTTCATTCATTACAACACCCATGGAAAAATGTGCATTTCAGAAAACTACATCTGCTTTGCTAGCCAGGATGGCAGCATGTGCAGTGTAATCATTCCACTAAGAGAGGTAATGTGAACCTTGTGTAGTTTAATGCCAGTTTAGCAGATTTTCATTAGAATCTTCTTACTTTATCTGATGTCATGTGTTTCCCCCTCTCCTGGATACTGCATGTAGGAATTCTGTTTGTAGTTTTGTAAAACTGCTTTCATGTTTCAGATTTGGTTCTATATCCTCTTTCCCTGTTCTATTTACTCCTATTTCTGTAGCTGGGTACAGAATCCAAATTTTTTAAAACTTTAAAAAGAAAAAATGTACTTAGTTCTTGAAGCTGAGTTAATGAGAGATAAATTAATTCTTGAGACAAAAAGCAAAGAAATGTAGAGGAAAAAAAAAAAACCAAACAACTCTGCATCCCTGTCTTGACTTCTTGTGATCTGGGACATCAGTCTTCCAATGTTAAAAGCTTTTCATCAACATCCAGATTACAGTAGCCTACAAATTAATCAGGTTCTGTAATTGCTCTGTAATTGCTTTACGTGCTCTGTGTGCACACTGCCTGACATAAGACACCTGACATAGGGAGTGAGCTGTACTAATTTCAACAACACTTCGTGTTTCCCACCTACATAAAGCAATGTATTTGATTATCTATAAATAGTCCTGCAAACAATGAAGACTTTCATAAGCTGTGAAAAACAAGAAGAGGCTGCTTTAAAGGAACTTGACTCTAAATTTATTCTTGTGGATTGCCAGTCCCTCGCTGTTTGTTCTACAGTACTGCAGAGTTACCTCATTTCAGTGGTTTACCATTCTTTACCTTTGACAATGTGAATGCATCAGTGATGCCAGTCAACCTAGATCTTCACGATTGTCACACTTGTACTTGGATAATTAAAGTGTATTAACTGCTCTAATCTGTGACTGTTCCATCATGGCAATTAAAGTCAGCTCCTGTTGTCATGTGTTATGACAGCTGTCTTTGACAGGGTATTCCCAGTGGAAATTCAGTCTTGTAAAACTTGTTTCATTTGATTACTTGCAAAAGTCATGTTTTGTCTGCTTTTGGATGGAAAAAAAAAAAGCAACAGCTTCAGCAGGTGTAAGGAGACAAGATATTCAACCTGAGAACTCACAGCTGGGAAAACCTTTTTGAAGATTTCTGATTCTCAGTCAAAAATCTGTTGCATAATTCTTATTACCCTGTGCTAAAATAGCTCCAGGCCACTAAACTTTCAACTTGTAACTTGTGTGCTAATCTGTTTGTGTGGTGCTTCATACCCACTGTTTTCATTTACACGTGTGTTTTTAACAAGCTTGCTCTTTTAGAAGTAAGCTGGTGAAATATCTTGCCTGATTTATGCATCCTTGGTTCCGCAGGTCACAGGGGTGGACAGGGCAGATCCAGCCAACAGAGGAGTCAGCATCAGCACCAAAGGAAAAACAGCTTTTCGTTTCACGGAGGTCAGAGATTTCGAACAGCTGGTGGCAAAGCTCAGAATGAAATGCAATGCAACTTCGAGTCCGCAACACGCCATAACTACAGAGGTAGCTGCTCTGCTAACTCTAATTTCTTAGAACCTGTTTCTAGGAATCAGGTTGTGTGGTCTTACTAAGAGTTTATGTATCATTGTCAATGTTTTGCTGTGTAATGCAGGACTCATAGTTAAAACTGACTCTAGACACAAGGTAGTACAGTGTCCACTGTACCGCTAGATTTCGAGTTGTCTAAATTTTTTTAATTTTCTCTTTTGAAAAAACATGTTCCCATCTCTTATCTTCAGACCATTTACATTAAAACAAAATTCCACTGGTGTGATGTAAAATTGCATGGATCTGTGTCCATTTTTGTCAGCCTATTGTTTGACTCAGGAAGTTGATAGAATGATTGTAAGGTTGTTTCCAGATATGAAGAAGTCCGTATGTGTGGTTTCAGGCATGAAAAATAAGAAACCAATGACAAAACATCCCTAAGAAGCATTATTTATTATATTTGCAGTATCTCTTCCATGAATAATTTACCCTGAAAAAAATTAAGTAGAATCAGCTGGAGTAGCCCTTAAAGTGGCATTTGTAAGAGTGGAGAAGTGTACAAATAAATATCTTTTGGTAGAAAGTAATCAATGAGTCAGCAAAATCTATACCTCCAGATTTTGATTCTTAAAAGACAAAAATGAGCAATAAAAGCAAGATAATTTGATATTGGCAGAAATGCTCAACTGATGAGGGTGCAGCAGAGCCCTGGGGCACCCGGGTGGTGAGGTTTGCTGCTCAGGGTCATTCCCTTTTAGATTACCTTATTTTGAGTTATATCTGCATTATTTTGACATAAGTCATGTACCTCTGGTTTTAAAATTTGGAAAAATAAAGAACTGCCTGTATGAAAGAGAATGGGTTAAACAATGGTGCTACTATGGATGCATTCTGTTTTGGGTTCTTTTCCCTTGTTATTCATTGTGTTTTGAAAAACAATCCCAGTTCTAAAGCGGTTTTTAAGTGTTCTCAGCTTTTCTGTATAGTTCACTGTATGAATGTTTTTATTTTGGTGGTGATGAATGGTCAGACTTCCCTGTCTCTTCTAATTTTCTCAGTTGTCACTGTCAATATTTGTCCTTTCATAATTCAGTTTTTGGCTGTAGAGATGCACTTTGTTTTTTTTCAAGTACTGACTCCTGAAAACCCACCTATGTGGAGCAGTGACTGCTGTTTTTTATTTATTTTGGAAGTCTGTATCTGGTACCTGTAATTTAATATAATAAACAATGATGGTCTGGTATCAGTGCTGCTTCTTGGAGGATTGTTTGTCATTTATAACCACCCACTGTTAAATTTTTTTCAAGGTTGCAGCTGGTTCTGCCTCTGATCATCCAAAGGATTCTGAGGTGGGACCGTCAAAGATGGGTCAGAGAGATAACAGCAAAACTGTGGGTACAGAAGCCCTAATGACTGTCTACCACCCTCAGGATTCTGAGAATCTTGACTCTAAAATGGTAAGGGATAAAATGGCCAACAGTTTGGGGAATCTAATTGCAAAGGACTGAAGTATATCAAAATGTATTCCAGCAAGGCTGCCGATTTCCTCTGGGGCTTTGCCAGTCTTCCTTCATCTGCATTTTCTGTATTTGGAGTCCACAGGGTGCTTCTTTGTGGCTCCATTCAATTTGCTGCTCATCTTGTTTAATAATGATATGCCTTATCTTCATGGAGCTAATTTCTCCTGCTCTTCCACCCCTCAGGGAAGAGTTGGCTGTTTGTTTTATGATAGTGAGCGTGTTTCATTTCTATCTGAATTGTCAGGATACAAAGTCACTACAAATTCTTTGGGAGCAAGGAGAATGTTGTGAGAAATTGACTTAATTTCTTCTTTCCTTCATTCTTTTGCACTGCTGCCCAACAAAGTTATGCTCTGGAGAATGTTTATTTAATTGTTTTTGCTGTATGACATCCAATTTTTGCTTCTCTATAGTGTGTGCAAGAAGACAGATTTTATTTGAAAATAAGTCTTTCAGCAGAACTGGGTAAACTAAGATATGAATTTTTTTTGTTTGTTTGTTTTAGAAATATCAGAACATAAATGTCCTGTCCTTTGGGCAGGGCAAAAGGGAACCTAGATTTTAAAATTCTGGGTTTTGTAGTATTTTGAGCAAAAGTGGACAAAATCTACTTTTCCTTTTGGCACCTTTAATTGTTTTAACAATGTTAAATCTTAGTGCTACATGCACAGAAATTCTCAGCCCTGGAGCCTCACATGAGCTGGAGCACCTTATCAACAGTTACTTTGCTTCAGAGAAATGTTTGTTTGACCTTACTGTGTTGTGGCACTTGTTGGTTTGTGTCAGATGGGATACTGGGTTAGATTTACCTTTTGTCCAAGCTGATGTAGACTTTCTTGTAATAATATACTTTAGAGAATAGCAGGCCATGTAGGAGATGGCATTTTATGCCAAACCTGTGCTGGATTTTGTTCTGATTTGCTTCAGCATTTATTTCACACGTCAGTACAGATGCCAACGCTGTAATTTCCAGTTTACATGAATATAACTTTGAGCAAAATTTACTTTTTTTCTCTGAAACCTGAGGAGAATCTACCAATGTACTTAATACTTGTTGTCTTGTGCTTTTCACAGTTGAAAGAAAAAATGAAGGAACAGTCATGGAACATCCTCTTTGCCGAGCGGGGACATGGTGTCAGTATGTTTCGAACAAAGAAGACTCGAGATCTGGTTGTACGAGGGATCCCAGAGGCCTTAAGAGGAGAGCTCTGGCTGCTCTTCTCAGGTATTGCATAATAAGTCTAACTGGTTCTTTTGGGAACTCTACTGTATGGATGTTCTAGTTACTGACAGTAGTCTAGTTATTGACTTCTAGTTTAACAAAAAGTTCTCTTACCTCTGGCATTTTGTCCAAATCTTTCTGAAGAAAGACACTTCAAAATCACGAACAAGAATTTGCTTATTTTACAACAAACTCCATTGAAACAGAGTAATAGTAATACATGCTGTTCCAGGGGACAGTCAGTTTCAGCAAAGCCTCTTTACCTGCTAAAAAGAAAAGCATGTTTGTGGGATTGTGTTGTTTTGGTTTAAGCTTTCAGAGATGATAGTGTTACCAGACGCACAGAAAATGTTTTCCTGGCAGAGAATTTGGCCCCAGTTACAAGCAGTTATTTGCTACATGCTTTTGCTTGGTTTAAAGAGTGAGACTGTACAGGAATTGTGGACTGTCTTACACATATGAGATCTCTTGTCCAAGCTCTGAGTGTGCTTTTGTGGCCTACTTCTGTAGAACACACCTGTGTCAGAGCACATAACTTGAGGAAATAGAGGCCCAGGGAATTAAGACCCTGCTACTCTGCAGCAGTTCTGTTCCTGTTCACTGAAACACTTAGAAAAAAGCAGCAGCCGCTGGCTTGATCAGGGTCACCCAGGAAGGCTGTGTCATATTCAGAAAACAAGCTGCAGATTTGGAGGAGCCACCCAGGACCTTATCTGCTAGCTGTGCTCACTGCGTGTTCCTGGGCAGAGCTTCCTCCTCTTCCAGAGGATCTGTTTATTGTAACAAATGCACTTTATCCTCCTCATTCAGCCTACTGTATGGTTGTTCCTTTTGAGGATGTGTGAACATGGATCTTTACCAGTGTTCTTTGAGAGTTACAAGGACATTTATGCTCCTGTTACCAGCCCAATATCTCTGTCTTATTAGGTGATGACATAACAGATACAGAATTCATTAGATAAATATTAGTCTTTTGCCTAGTTTTCCCTATATGTTGTCAGCTCTACAAATGGGAAGATATTGTGTTCGTCAGAAAAGCTAGGCAAAATTGTAGGTGAAAGCAAGCCCCCTTTCCCCAAACAAACAAAAAAGTTAGTCAAAATCAAGTTTATAATGGAATGACTTAAATTTCCTCCAAGCCTTATTTTGTTTTGCTTTTCTGTTTTCATTTCAGAGTAATTCCATTAATTTCAGTAGAATTACTCTAGTACATTACTACAGTAATATCTGGAGATTCATGAGGTACCTGAATGTCACCAGAAACCTTTATATAAATTGCAGACAATCACATAGTTACTTTACCATTGTCCTCTACTACCATGCAATACTGTGTGTTGGCAGGTGCTGTAAATGATATGGCATCCAACCCTGGTTATTACACTGAGCTGGTGGAAAAGTCCTTAGGAACGTGCACCTTGGCTACTGATGAAATTGAACGGGATTTGCGTCGCTCCTTACCCGAGCATCCTGCTTTTCAAAGTGACACAGGAATTTCTGCACTCAGGAGAGTTCTCACAGCTTATGCATACAGGAATCCTCAAATTGGATATTGTCAGGTACAGCAGCTTTGAGAGTCACGGTGTTGGTTGTCTATTAGCTCATGATGGTAGTGTAGGAGCACTGCATGAAATCAGTCAGAGAAATGTGTAATGGTTTCGTGCTCGATGGTTCACTTACTTCACTTATTTCATCCTCCTGTGTAACGAGTTTTTACTTGAATTTGTTGATAAATGCTGTCATGTCCACTTCATAAATGTGTTTGCATTCTAACTAACCATTTAGCATTTAAAAATATTTGTATATAGTTCAAATACTATGTTCTGTATTTAATAACATAAAAGCAAAAGTCTTATACTGGATATGACTGTAGGTTATCCCAGCACTCTAAAAACGTGCTGTAAAGTGCTTTCAGAAATATAAATTCTGACTAATGGTAACAGTTGTGTTTTTACCATCTTTCCTTGTAAGTGTTTCCTTTCCTGTTTAAATGTCACAGGCAATGAATATTCTGACATCAGTGCTTCTGCTGTATGCTAAAGAGGAGGAAGCCTTCTGGCTTTTGGTTGCTGTGTGTGAAAGGATGCTCCCCGATTACTTCAATCGTCGAATCATTGGTAACATCCATCTCTCTTTTTGTCTGTCTAGAATTGAATGTAAATGGTCATTCATTAAGAACTAATGAAAGGAGTGAGCTAAAGACTGACCAGTGTAGAGAAACTGTTGCATTTGGTTCAGTATTATGGAGTAGAAAGTGGAGGTTACAGAGAACATCCCACGGCTCCTTCTTATATAGGAATGGATGTGATTTTCAGATACTGTCATTACTCCAGGTATAACTACTCAGGAATTATTCAATTAGACTATTACACTATTCTTTTGAAATTATAACTGCAATTCATACTAATTTATTTGAAACTCAGCCAGGTTAAATAAAGGAAAAAGGGTTACTCCAGGTCCAGACTTAGCCTTTGATCTCCTATGCAGTTCTTAGAGGTGTATATGCTGGAAGCAAGTTGGATGTGAAGTTTCTCTCTCATTGCAGAGAGGGTGTATTGGCTGTCAGGGGAGTCACTGGAAGCAGCCATGCACTCACCAAAGTGCTGACACCCTTTAAGCATGCAGCAAGGCTCTGGACCATGCATGGAGTGCACAGCTTCCAGCTTAGGGAAGGGAGCCAGTGGTTCCATACTGGGCCTGTGTGTGCTTTAAAACAGAGCTGCGTTAGGACAGGGCCTTTATTTCTGGCTGGTGCTCTGAGAAAAGTGTGCTTCTCTGTATTAAGATTTGGGTGGTGGTTTTGTTATCCTTTCCCTGCAGGTGCCTTGGTAGATCAGGCAGTGTTTGAGGAGCTCATCAGGGTTCACCTGCCTCAGTTGACAGACCACATGACGGACATGACTTTTTTCTCCTCGGTCTCTCTCTCCTGGTTCCTTACCCTTTTTATCAGTGTGCTGCCTATTGAAAGTGCAGTCAATGTGGTGGACTGTTTCTTCTATGATGGAATAAAGGCAATCTTGCAGCTGGGCCTTGCTGTGCTGGAATACAACATGGAGAAGTTGCTCACTTGTAAGGATGATGCAGAAGCAGTCACTGTTCTCAACAGGTATCAGTGTAACTGTTATTCTTTTGGTCTGGTAGCAGCTGCTATAACTGCCAGGGTTTTAAATGTTACATGTTTGAATGGGGTAGGAGCTACAGAATTATTGAGAAAGATGTAATTTTTGTTATAACAGACCATGCAGCCTGGTGTTTATTGTAAAATCTTGCTTCCCCAATGGATCTGTTTAGGCTGGTGATGCAGGTCTGCTGAGCAGGTGCAAATCAGGCCTGTCTTTGGCTTATGCATCTGGGGGAATTAAGATTGCCTCGTTCACAGTTCAGGACAAGCTTTTTTGTCTCTCCCAGTTAGGAAGTACAACCCTGCTAGATGGATTAGAGAACCAGGGAAATGCCAAGTGGAAGGCGCTTTGGCAAGAGTCTAGTTTAACTTCCCACTCCAAAGAGGATTGCTGCTCACACTAGATCACATCAACCAATACATCACTAATGTATTGACTAAAACCTCCCAGGGCTGGAACCTTCTCTGGGTGGGCAGTTCCCACGTTTGTGTGTTTTTGTTACTATTGTAGCACATTTTTGCCACTGATTCTCATATTCTTTGCTATTTCCCCTTCTCTGTGCACTTTTTCTTTAGTAGATGCCAATGCTGTTGTTTTCTGGTGATGAACTGGTTCCTGCTGATTTCTCGTGTGTTTGCTTTGTGCAGATTTTTTGACAGTGTCACTAACAAAGACAGTCCTTTGCCTCCAGCTGTGCAGCAAGGCTCCAACCTCAGTGACACAAAGAGTGACCACCCAAAAGTGGACATCACAGATTTGATCCGAGAGTCAAATGAAGTATGTGTTCTTGGGGGTATGTTCTTGCATCCCATGCAGTGTTTGTTTCCTGGGCTACTTTAAAAATACTGCAACTGCATTGTACAAACTAGGGTAGAAAATCTGCCTAGATTGGTAAAAATGGGGCTCTATTTTGTTCAACCTCACTGAAAACCTTTACAGGTTTGGTTTCTGCAAAGTTAAGCTTTGGAGCTTTTCACTGGGGAGGAAATATATGTAGCTTCTCCTATTTTTCCCCAGATTTTCATGAGGCATTTTTTTCCTTGGCATGATTTCTGTCAGAGTATTAATGTATTTGTAGATAGGTTTCTGCTCAGCCCAGAGCTTCTGCTCAGAAGTGAAAGGAAGCTGAGATAAAAGATTTGATCACTTTTTTTTTTGTATTAACTATTTTCTTTTATCTGTATAATTATTTTTCTTTTCTGATTCTCATTCATATGTTTCTAGTGAAAGATCCGTTAATCTTTTTTGGAAAAAATGTCCTGACCTTGACTCAGAAAAGATGAACTAACTGTAATTTGTATAATTTAGAAATTGTCTTTTTTTATTTTTTACTGAGAAGAAGGCATTGCTTTTAATGGGGTGAACAATGACAAGAATCAGAAATTCAATTTCCCATGAACAGTCTTTTTAGCATTAGGCTAATCATATAAAAGTCTGTTCTATCAGTATTGTTTTACAAGAATGTTATACTGAAAAATCATGTTTGGGAAATGCTGTAAGATTCTTGAAAGAAAAGTTGAAAACTATTCTAGGTCTTTCTTTTCATGGTGAGTTCTCAAAGTGAGGCTGAATACTTGCAGATTGGAGACCAGAGGTGGTAAATAATGAAGTGCTGTATATTGCATTCAGAAGTGGAAGCTGAGGCTTTCACAGAGGTGGAATCAGGACTGAAGGACAAAGCAAAAGAAAATACTTTTCTACTTCCCTTCCCTTTGCAGGCAGGGAACTGCACCAAAGCAGTAGTCTCTGATTTGGTTTGGCTTTTGAACAGTTTTGGGCAGAACTTTGAACCTGAATCTCCCAGTTCCAAGTTGTCAGCCCTGTTCTTAGGCCCATATCCCCATTTCTCTCTCATAACCCCTTTTTCAGTTGCAAATTTTTATCTTCAGTTGAAACTGAGTTTCTTCAGTGCTGGTAAGTGCCACAGCCCCAGGCTTGAGAACTGCTGGTACAAAGTGAGAGACAATTTCCTTCTTCCCATTTTGACCAGACAGTTAATTTCAACACAGTTCTGGTCTGGTGAAGGGTGTTATTTTCATATCACTATGGAAATAAAATAAATTTCAAAATGGGAAGATTGCTGCAATGGAGAGTTGCCACTCTGCAGATAGGTCTGGTTATAGGTTATGAAGAATTGAACAGTTATTCTTTGTGATACTGTTGCTTTGTATGGGTGCTCACAAGATAAATGAGATTATGTGAAAGTCTTGAGAAAGAATGTTGGCCTGGTTTGATTTATCAGTTTCTGTTTAGATTTTAATTGTTTAATAATTTGTTGCATGATTTCTTTGAGAATTTTTTTTTTTTAGTTTTTTGCCTGCTATCCCACTTTTCCTTAAAGGCAAATGTATTTATTCTGCTCCAGTGCTCAGACACCTACCCTGTCCTTCAGAAATTCCAGAGGCAGCTAGGAACAGTTCATAAATTACTTAGCTTATTTCTAAATTTCACTAGAGTGAACTTCAAACCCTGACAACATGCACATCTTTCACTTTGCTGCCCTGCAGTAGTAGTCACCATGTGATAGCAGAGTTGGGTATAGAGCCAACACACAGTAAAATCCCTTCCTTTGTCTTCTCACACACTGAACTACTCCAGTTTCTTTTTTCTCCATCACTGTTTGAAACACCTTTTAAACACTCTTTTAAAAGTTACACGGGTTAGGGAGAAGCTTAATGCTCCAATAAATTATTTGTTTCTCGGGGTCTCTGGGATCTTCCCTTGTGTCCCTACCTGTATTACACTTAGCTGCAAGAAAGGCAAACTCATCTGCTTAGATGTGTCTAGCAACAGCTGACTGCATGGAATGGGGCTTTTCTCCTTAGAGGTACGGTGATATTCGCTACGAGGATGTTGAGAGCATGCGCTGCAGGAACAGGCTTTATGTGATCCAGACCTTGGAAGCTACAACCAAGCAGAATGTGGTGAGTGACTTGCAAGAGCTTAACCCTTCCCTCTGATAACCCTTTTGGAAAGTTCTGAAAAGAGCTACATTTTCCAGGGCCAAATATATAATTTTATACGCTAAAGCCGCTCCTGTCTGCTGAGTGTCAGTTGTTAACTGAGGTATGGCCTGTGATGTTTTCAGTCTCTGAAACCACAGCATGACCTTCTGGTCTCATTGCAAGTGACACCATCCCTGACCACTTCTAAAGGCTGGAGTATCTCTCCCACTTCGCGTGGGTTGGAACAGGCTGACCTATATTTCTATCTGCTGTTGTTAAACTGTAAATGCATTTCTCTTAGAGGCATAGAGCACTCTACAGTAAAACAATTAATCACCTGCATTTGCACTCTGGGAAGCAGCACTGAAGAGATTACTATACTATATTCAACTTTTTGTCTGTGATGTGTGTGGGTGTCTGGTAATGTGGCAGCTTTTCACCTGCCTTTATCATCTTTTTAGTCCAGACTGCTGAATGAAGGTGGAGGTTGTGAGGTGCTTCTTTTGCTTGCCTGTTCTCTTCAAACAGTGACTTATTTCCAATAACTGATGATAATAATAGTCTGTTCAACCATCAGTGCTTCTTTCTGTAGTAAATGTGGCTTGTAGAAAACTGATCCCAAATGCTGCTGGTTTACAATAAGATGGTAACTGTTGCATTTCATTTTACAAAACATACATATTGTGCAGATGGAAGCTGCTCTTGTAGCAGCCTTGTTTAAAAAGACGGTGAAAAATTTTTATTTATTTATTTATTTATTTATTTATTTATTTATTTATTTATTTATTAAAAGGAGGATCCAGCGTCACTGTTGAGAGCTGAGCATGCATTTGCCCCTTTAAAGGAAACTTTATATTATATATTTTTTTCTTTTTTTAAGAAATTATTCCTTTTGGTCTATAATCTTCTGATTGCTTTTAAAAAGAAGTGCTATTCTAATTGTAACATGCCCAAACCTGGAATGTGGAAAATGTCTTTTAGTGTAATGTTAAGTCTCCCATAATTTTATTCCATGGGCTTATTCCAAAGAGGGAAGACTCTTTATTTTTTTTTTAATTTTGTTTCAGCTACGCGTTGTGTCTCAAGAAGTAAGATTCAGTCCTAGTGATCTTGAAGAGCTTTATGAATTATTCAAGGTAATGTACCATTTTCCTCACTTACCAAATAGCCATCTTAAAGGGTAGACTGTGAAATGGCTTTAATAAATTGAGGTAAAAGATTCAACATATGTTTTACATGCCAGCTTTAAATCTAACTACATAGTTAACTTCTCACATCTTTCACCCAGAGAGACTTGTTGTTTCAGAGAACTAATATTTTCTCTTTCCTTTGCAGAAGGAGCACTTTCTTTCCTGTTACTGGAGCGTAAACAGTCCTGTCTTGCAACATCACGATGCCAGTCTGCCGTATCTGGAGCAGTATCGGATCGATTGCCAGCAGTTCAGGGTTCTCTTCCATCTCCTGAGCCCCTGGTCACACTGTGCAAACAGAGACTCACTTGCTCTGTGGACATTCAGACTGATGGATGAGAGTTCCGATTGCCTTATAAACTTCAAGCAGTTTGCCTGTGTCCTTGGTACGGGAACAACACTTGTACTGGCATATTCACAGGGGAGTCTGTCTTGGGAACACTCCTGGGCTGTGTCATCTTCCACCCACTGCTTTTATCATGTGACAGAATAATCCCATTTGAGATTAAATTTAGACATGGCTTAGCCATCAAAAATCTGAAAATTAGGAAATGGCGTGATCTCGTCACTCAGCTTGTTTGCTTGATGATAAATGTTTCCTCATACTGAGCCATCTCGTACACAGATCATGCAGGATGACCAGTGCCTCATATCTCTGGGGAACTGAAAGTTTTCTTGACTCATTGCTCTGTTCCGTTCATCCTGTTCAAAGTGGTATTGTTCAGGAAACAAAAATATAAGGGAAAGGGTTGAGAAGACATTAGTGCTATGTTTCTTTGGTGCTCTGGTTTTATTTTAGTAAGTCATAGACATTGTTAGTGTTCTTTCCTCGGTGTAGGCTCAGCACAGGTGGTACTGCTTTCCTTAAGTTTCATCCCTAGCTATACTCCCTGTAAGGTAGGGCACGTGTCCAGTTCCAACCTCCCTGGGGTGCATTTGTTTAGGTTAAGAGGGTGTTTTAAAGTTTGGTCCAGTTGAACACTGTCCTCTTTCCTCTAACAGACACCATGTATAATGGAAGCTTCACTGACAAACTCAAGCTTCTTTTTAAGTTGCACATCCCTCCAGGTAAGTGGGAGGCATTTGGGGAGAGATGTTTCTGGCCTTTGTTGTCTTTATCACTGCTTTTGTGATGCTTGGGAGTCCCCAAACCTACTTTATTCAATTGTTTATTGCAGCTTTTACTGAAGTAGCATCTCTAAGCCCTTCCAAAGGGGATGATCTTTCAAAAGAAGAACTGATCCACTTCAGCCAACTCAATGGTAAGCTCCAGGGTGTGAGGCTTTGCCTGCAGGGTATTAGAAGGAATCTATTAATTATCTCATGAAAAATGGGGAGTTCTCTTCTGAAAACTAGTAAATCCAGTAAATCATATCACTGTTAACAGAATCCTCTGCAAAGATCTTCTTTAGTAGTTACAGTTTAATAAAGAATTTGTGGATAGCTTGTTCTGATGGTTGAATTTCAAGGCTGTGGGTGTTTACATGGAAATAGAGAAGTGTATTTGGTCAGCATTTTTCAGCACAGTAAGCAGCCTTCACTTTTGCATCCCAGGCACAAAGGAATGATATTTTTCCTCCTCAAGAAATAAAATACCTAAATCCATAATTATTTTGAGACACATAAGCAAGTGTTTCAAATTCCTTTGCTTTCATTTTAAAGCAAGTGAGCTGAAAAAAGCTTTGTGGGGACTAAGTTTGTGGAATGGATAAAATACTGTTTCAAATACTCTGTTTGGAAAGCTCTGTGGTTTTACTTCTTTGGAAGACAGATGTTTTTTGGTTTTTGAAATCTACCCCCAGTACCTTATCTGTAATATACAGTTACTGTTCTCATCACTGTTCAGGTTGGGCACAGTGAACATTATGAAGATTATTTGTTTAGTATAACTGATGGCAGGTTTTTTTGTGACCTCTTAGCTCACAGTGGCTTCTATTTTTATAGAAAGCATACAAATCTTATCATATAGTTTCTTGACCTAATCTGTGCTGAGAACACAGGGCTGTTGAGGCTCTTGCTCCTTAAGGAAGGAATTTTTGATAAAGGAAATGAACCACTGGTCCTCTTTTCTCAAATAAATAACTCTTTCTTCATTTTCTTCTCCTAAACTGTAGTTTCATCTGTTGGGGATAGTCTTGGAAGTGATTCTTCGAAGGGCAGCCCAGAAAAAGGTAAAAAATCCTGGTGACACATTTGGTAGCTGTGTCTTTTGGGGGAGTAGAGCTGGGAAACTGTGTGGTGAGAAAATATATTAAGTAACATCGTCCTTAGAGTATTGTTAACATTCTATCCACTTTTACATCCTACGGGTGAGAGTGTAGTGGAAACTCTGATCCTGTTTAGTCCTTGGCCTTACCACTCTGTTGAGAAGGAATGACATTGAGGATACCAGTTCCTTTTGCTCATTGTCCCCCATGGGAAGCTCTTAGTTATTTTCTGTTTATTTCTGTTTGTTTGTGTTTTTTTTTTTTTGTCAATTAGGAAAAGGGAAGGTTGATATTCAGGCATATCTGAAGCAATGGCAAGATGAACTTCTTAAAAAAGAAGAAAACATTAAGGATTTGCCAAGAATGAATCAGGTAAACTATCTGAGTCTTATGTAAGCCTGGTTTTGACTTGGAAGTTCATCTTTTAAGTCAAGTCCTGTTACAATATTTCTGAAGGATTTGTAGGATCCCTTGAATTTCAGACTTTCACATTAATCATTAGACTGTGTGTTTGTAAAACTGCTGTAACTTATGAAGAGAGGGACTTTGAGACCCAGGTAGGTTTATCGGGGCTGGTCCATGGCCGTACTGTCACTAGAGCAGCTGCACCAGGTGCCTGGCAGCAGCAGGCACTGAGCTGAGAGCACAGCCTGTAGTCAAACAGGATTGTGTTGCTGTTCTCTGAATAGTCTCCTCTATATCTCTCTGTAGTCCCAGTTCATCCAGTTCTCAAAAACTCTGTACAATCTGTTCCACGGGGATCCTGAGGAGGAGCTGTTGTATCGGGCTATCGCCGTGGTTACCAGCCTCCTGCTGAAAATGGAAGAAGTTGGGAGAAGGCTGCAGAGTCCCACATCACCAGTCCAAAGTCCAGTTCCCATTACCGAGGTGCCTGCTGAAATCCCCAGGGAAGGGCAGGAGGAAAGCAGCTCTGAGCAGACTGAAGGCAGTAGAGCACAGAGTTTGAGAGGGAACCATGAGTGGTCTTTTGCCTTTGAACAGGTTCTGGCGTCCTTATTAAATGAGCCGGCCTTTGTGAGATTTTTTGAAAAACCTCATGACATAAAAGTTAAAATAGAGAGTGCTAAAAATTTACAACTTAAAGCAAGAACCAGAGTGTAATTTTCTTTACCTTTGACTCTGAATTAACCACAAAGCGCTTAAAAATGAAGGTTGCAACTAAGGAAACCAAGTCTGGTGTTTACATAGAGAAAGAAGTTTGCAGAGGTAGCTTTAAATATCAGATTACTGGTATGTAATGTAAATACAAATAGTTTGAAGCACAATCACTTTCTTGCATTGTTCATAAGTTTCACTCCAAAAAAAAAAAACAGGACTGAATAATAAACTGTCTTTACCATGTTAGTAAAATATGCAATGTTGCTTGGAAGTACTGGGTGTGACCTGTTGCAAACCCATCTGAATGGCTGTTGTTACAGTGTGTCTCTCCAGGTTCATTTCTATTACTGTGATAAGGGGAATGACTTCCTGCCATTTTCACTTAAAGGGAGTATCAACAGCTTAGAGGTGGTCATCCACATTGGTTTAATTAGTTATTTCCAAACTTGCATGTGGACTGAGGTCAAAGCAGCGTGAAGGCTAAAGGTAGAGGGTGTGGTAGGCACAAAAGCCTAAGATTAGAGAAGGAAGTGCCCTGCTCTCAATTCCTCTGCTTTGATGTTCCCAATGGGCCTGGACTCTTGCAGATTCCAGCCTCTTGTCAGCAGTTTTCAGACTGCATCCTCCCAGCCCACATCTGTTTTTGCAACAAACAGCTGGTTTCCTGCCTTTCTAGCTCAGCCTCGAGTTCTCTTTCCCGTTTTCATGCCAATCCTCTTACAATGCAGGTAAAAAGGATGGAAGCTTGTTTGGTCATCCAGGCTGCACATGGATTTAAAAGCTAATACTGGTTGTTGAAATCAAAGGAAAGCAGTGGCTAAATCTGTCTGGCCACATGGTGGTTGTCCTTTGTCTGGCAAGAGGAGCTTCTTAGGAGCATATTGATGAAATACAGAGTTTTGCTGGTGTCTGCAAAGACCAAGCCCAGACCATCTTTATCTGAATGCTGAAGGGACAGATTGCAGTTGCTCCTTTGCCTACCCTGAATCCGTACCTCAACCTAGTAATTGCTACTTCTTTTCTATAGCCCTCTGGATTATTGCTGCTGTAATATTTTCCATCAGCCAGGATTCAAGGCAGCAAGAAAATCCCCTTGAATCTGACTTGAAATTTTAACACATAAAAAATGATATAGCAGAGATCCTGTGGAGGCAAATTCTGCCAGCGTTAATGCTGAGAAATGTTGACCTTGAGTCTTTGGTAGCTGGTGCTAGAAGGGGTTTAGAGAAAGAGGGAAAGAGCTTGTCTTTTAAAAACAACAGAAAAGTAAACTGGGACTCTGTGCTAAACTAGTTTAAAATGTCTGTTTCTAAAGCCTGTATGACAATCTTTCTCTGCAGAGCAGCATTATTTTTATACTGTGCATGTTTTTTTGTAAAGAAGCAGAACAGGGATGGTATGATTCACTGAGGCTTTTCTTGCAATACTAATATGAATGAAGAATAAAATGAAATTCTGGCTTGTATTACAGGCACTTTGTGAAATGCCATCATTACAATTGATGTTAAATACAGTTTTCAGCAGGACAAATAAATTTATGAATTGTCTTATACTCTCCCCCATGCTCTCAGGTATTAATGTAAAATAAAGTTTTATTGAATGAACAGTCAGTTCAAAAGTTATATATGTGAGGAATGAGGAAGCATTTTTCAAAAGCCTTTACAAAGTAATTACACTTGATACAATATAGTGCTGATTTGTATTTTTATGCATAAAATGTAAGAATTAATTTATCCATTTATGTGGATATGGATTAGTAGGGCCACACTGTGTTACTAACTTTAAAATGTATTTACTCACTGTTTTCCCAAAGTTGTTTAGAAATGCAAAGCAGATGATTTTGTAGTTCTGGGCCAGGATGTACTCAGATAAGGATTGATCAGTGAGTAATTCTTCTGAAAATAGCTGTGACGAAATTAATGGATCCCCATGAAAACAGATGCAGCTGCCCATCCCAGAAGCTTTTGTAGGTTTATGACGGATATTGTTTATGCCAAGAAGTAGTCAAAGCTGTGAACTATTTGCTAAACAAAGTAACAGAGATATGGAAGTCTTAAAACTCAAGGACATTTTTTTGTTTGAGAACCAAGATACTTCCAAGTACAGAAGAATGTGGTGAAGGAACTTGCAAAGTACAGTACCTGTTTATGCAAACTGAGCACCTTTTTTACAATTCCCTTTTCTATTAGTGCCAATCCAAGAGACTGTGGAGCCATTGCCAGTTAGGCAGTAGCTCGTCAGCTATCATATCTACATATAAAGAGAGATTATTACCAGCATATATATATATATATATATATACACACATAGATTTAAGGTGAGAAGCTCTGCTTGTGACATTAATTCTGGAGTTAGTGTCTAGCTTATTTCCTTCCCTTTCTTATTCTAGCTCCTTCCATCCCTATTCCAGATGGGATGGCTAACAAATAAATGCAGGTTTAGTTGGGTTTAGTGGAGCTAGAGCAATAGCAACTCTTTCCCTCTCCACTCCCAAAAGGTGATGCCTTGACTTCAGAGCACTGTGCCATACAGCTTTTTGGTCAGATGAAGCTGGTGATGCAAAGATGAACCCAGACTCACATTCCATCTCATGAGGACGCTGGGGTGTCACACTGGTGTTGCAGGGGGGCAGCTGGCACGGGTAGTTGGGAATTAGGCAGAAGGAGTCTGGTGGTTGCAGATCATCTGACAGGATTACTGAGCTAATTCCTGAGGGGGGACTTTCCATTCAAATTGTAACTTGGAAATTTTTATAAGTGTGTTTGAACTTTGAACAGCAGCGTGGTTAAGTGAGTTCTGATGTGTCACTTCACTCATCTCTGTTCCTTTTTTTCCTGTAAGTTTCTGTGAAGTTTTATTTTTCTGGTTCAGTCATAGGAAATAAATGAAGGTGCGTCATTCAGTACAAAATAGACAGTTGTAGGTAGGGTATAGATTGCTAAAATTAGTGGTGCTGTTTGTTTGTACAGTTTGAGAATTGCACTACCTGCTGCAGCATCACAGGTGGGTGATTTGGCAGCTGTGTCATGGTTACCCCAAAACACTGGCAGTGGCTTTCTGGCTGCTGAGCTGTTACTGTTGCTGCTGTGCACATAAAATGCCTTCTGTCAGATGAAGTTGTCAGCCCAGGGGGATGGCCAGCAGGCTGTGATGATCCCTCGGTCTTGCAATACGGAATGTGCCGCTCCGGAGCCTGGTGCTGTTCCCTGTGCTCCGGGTGAGCAGTGGCAGCCCTGACCCCTGAGCTGCTGACCCCGGGGCTTGGGGTCACGCCAACCACACGAGGGGAGGGAACAGTTCAAATAATAAAAACACCAGCTCTTTCCACCTTGGGGGACAACTGATGGTAATTCAACTGGTAGCATTTTGCAGGACATGGAAATGGCCACTGCCGTGTAATACAAAAAAACCACTCTCAGTTTCCATCCATTCCTTAAACGAAGCCACTTGTTCATCGCTCTAATGGCTGGATAATAATGTAATTTTAGAAGAGTTTACTACCATAGTGACTAAGAAATAGCTGTGTGTTGATTTTACCAGAAGTTTCTCATCCAGTTGTACCATACAAGTTTCTTGATTGAGATTTCAGTTGTTATCTGGACTAAAACAGAAGGAAATAATCCAATTTGTTTCCAGAAAAATAGGCTATTTCGTCTTTTTTTGCTCTAGCTTTGTCACTTTACCAAGAAGGCAACACGTTTGTGTTGACAGATTGGCTTTTATACAGTGTATTGTATGAAGAAGTACTGTAAGACAAATGAGGTGTTAAATAAAGTATTGTTTCACTTAAAAAAACCCTGTGTTTGAGGCACTATTATTTCTCATGACAGTGCATAGCAGAAGTTCCTTCAAGAGCGTTGACCACGTTAAAGCCACATTTAGTCAGTGCTTTCCAAAAGAAGGACCAAACCAAAAGCCAAGGTGGGATGCCAGATTTTGAAGTCTGGGACTAGTTTGGCTTTGTTACAGCCTGAGTTCAGTGCTGAGATGGTGAGTGAGTGAGCCCAGAACTGTCACTCGCTTTTTGCATCCAAATTAAACATTTACAGTGTGCAGATGTGTCTACACTGACCTTGATGCCTTGTTCTTTCTGATGCATTCCCCCCATTGTTTCTGGCACTGGTCATGGAAATCCCCATCTCCCTCTTGAGGCCCATCCCTTCAGCAGTTCATGCAAACGAATCTGTGATGCTGCTGCTCTTGTGCCTCTTGGACAGCAGGGATCAGGTTCTGATCCACAATGGACCCACACCACCCCGGGAATAACAACAACACATAGTGTGGAAGAGGCCTTACAAGTATTATTTTATTTCTTCTTATCTTTTTTTTTTTTTTTTTTTTAAATACTATGTACAATCTCTTTAAAGCTTGTCAAAATGCACAGGCTCCCATTCAATGGAGCTGTGCAGGGACATAGATTCAAAACAAGAATAAAATCTTTACTGTTCATCTTCATAAGACACTTTCTTTTTCCCATTACAAAATACTTTTAAGAATAGTAACATTTATAAATTTATTTATATTCAACATCATATAAAATAAACCAAGATTTATACTCAATTCTAGACTTTTTCTTATTTTCTTTTTTCTTTTTTTTTTTTTTTCATGGAATATTTACAATATATACAGTAACTTTTCATTGTGTTTGTCAAACCAGCCTGATTATACCCACCAGGCTTTAGCTTATATGTACAAATACGCTAAAAGTGCAAGACTTTATTAATTAAAGCTGCCTGTGTTTTCAGAGGTCTGGAATTGTGTGGCCTATATATATTTATATATAGATATACATGTGCATACACATATATGCATATTGAAAATACATATATCTATATATAGAGAGATATAATATATAGGTACTTGTGTACTAGAAAACCTCAGAACATTAATGACTGATAGGCCAACACCAACACTGGAGCCCCACCCCGCCGCAGGTGCCATTGGTCACTTTCCTCCCTCTGCTTGTGACCAACAAGTCACACTTGTGCTTTCTTGTTGCAGCTGGGGGAGTGTGAACCAAACCCACCAGCAACCCTCAATTCCAAATGAGTCCTAAAAACACAGGTCATAGCTAATACCGAGGTAAACAAATACAAATCAACCTGAATAAAGTTATTTATCTGTATATTTTTTGAGAGTGAGTGACAATATAAGGCAAAAACCCCATGGCCCTGACTCAGCCTTCCCTCCCTCAGCTGGAGGCAGACTGAGCAGGGACCGAGCAAGCCCCAGAAAGGGATGGTGGGATTTTGTCCTTTGGAGCATGTCTGGAAAACAAGGCTCTACCCATGAGGCAGTGCCTGGGACTGTGCAGCCCCCCTGCCCACCAGCAGCGAGGCCAGTGGCTGGGGTGGGCACTGGGAACGAGGGGGGGCACATGATAAAGTGCGTTTTTAGGTCTCTTTGTTTCAGCAAGGCTGATCTAACATGTAAACATCCTCACAAAGCTCCTGTGCTCCTCGCTGAGAGGCTGCAAGCAGGGGGGCAGTGCCTCCCCCAGCTCTCCCTGCCATCAGAAGGGCTGTGCCCATGGCATGGCCCCATCCGGCACACCCACAACCCCCCACCTCCCCCAAACCCCTTCCCAACCCTCTTCTTTCACTGCTGTCAAAGCCACAGCAGTGCTGGGAAACCACTCTGCCTCAGCTGCCTCCCTACCAAGCACTGTTAAAAAAATACAACCCCCCCCAAGCCCCTGACCCCAACCACCACCACCTCTGAGATACACTTGATTGGCACCTGCCATAGGTGGGCTCACGTGTGGTGATGGGACACCTCTCACCAGCCGTGGTGGTGGACTGGGATGATGCAGGTTTAATGGGCAAGCAGGAAGATGCTCGACCTTTCCCTCCTGCCAGCCACCCCGAGCCACAAACTGTGCAGTGGTGGACCCCCAACAGAAATGTATGTGTTTGCCTCCCCTCTGACATGTTCCAAGGCTATGGTGGAAAAAACCACAAACAACTCCCAAAAATACAACTCTCTCCTGCCCCAGCCTCATGAGCAATCCCGCTGTCTTGGAATGGGGAGAGGGAGACTAAAAATCATAGTGCTTTAAAAAAAGAAAAGACAAAAAAAAAAAAAAAAAAAAAAAGAAAAAGTTACCTACCCCAAAGGCTCTGTGCTGGCCCTTGCTGCATCACAAATGCCAGGGCAGGAAAGCCCCCACCCTCTCTCCAGGGCTTGGTCTCCAAGAGCCAAGGGATGAGGTGTTACTGTTTCAGCTCCAGGTTGCTCTGGAAAGGCAGGTGCTCCACATCCCACTACCAGCAGTGCCATGGCTGGCCCGTGGCTCTGCTGTAGCCAGAATTTCTTGTTGTGGTTTGAAATGAGGGGGCTGGTCCAGGCTGTGTCTGAGAGCAGCAGGGGGGCTGCAGACAAAATCCTGTCCCAGGCAGAGCTGTCACACTTCTGTTTCACTCCTGAGCTCTCCAGGAGTCTCTGGCTGCCATAGCCTTGTTCACCCAGGCTGAAACAGTCGTGTTCTTCTGCCCCCCAAGCTCAGCCTGGGCCCAAAGTTAAAGAAATCCTCACCGTGCTGCAGCACAGAAATTGTGTGGCTGCTGGGGGCAAGTGAGCCAGCTACAGATATATAGATACAGCTACAGATACAGCTACAGATATACAGATAGAGCTGCAGACAGATCTGTGCTTATGGCATTGGGTAGCTCAAGGTACCATTAGCTGTAGCTATTGCTTTGACACATTCCCACTTTCCCCTTTTTCTTGAAACACAGTGCCAAAGGCTCCTCCATCAGTAACACCAGTAACACCAGCGTCCACCTGCCGCAATGTTGCAAAGAGCCAAGCAAGCAGCTTGCACAAGATAAAAAAGGAAACAAATGCCAAAAAAAAAAAAAAAAAAAAAAAGAAAAAAAAAGAAAAAGCAGGTTTGCTTGGTTCTGACTTTAGGAATTAACCCCTCCCTAAACCTTGCTCTGATTGTCAGGTGGAGCTTCACTGCTAGATGGACCTGGTCCTAAATAACCACTATTTTGCAAAGTAATGGCCAAACCCACCTCCTGCATTTGGCCTCTAACAGTGCCCAAAGGTAGTAAGTACTCAGCTACTAACGCCTCGAAAATGTACATTTTCATTTTTCCTTTGGAAAGACACAAACAGTAGGGACACTTAACTATACACCCACTGAGGAATAAACTTCTTTTTCAATTCATAAATATAAACTTATAGTTAAAAAGTGACAATTTTTACAAAAATACAATTTATTGCTGACCCTACGGGCTTGTAACATCGCTTGTGTAGTGATCGTACATTTTGGGTGTGCCAAATTGAAACATGACCTAGCAAAACCAGAAAGTTTGCTGTCATATGCCAGTCTATGCATGTTTGTTTGTTTTTATGTATAGAAACATACACAACTACAGCACTCGAAATGAAACAAACAGACAGAAAAAGAAGGAGTAAGGATTCTTTGTCTGTAACCTGAAAAATACTTGGCTACAGGGAGTAAAAACCCTACAAATTTCTCTGCACTTGTTAACCAAAAATAAAACATGACAAATATTGTACTAGCTGCGATGTGAGCTGGTATAACAACAGTAAGAAATTCAGGCAAAAGTGGTGTTATGTAAATTAGCAGCATTATCCAATCTCCTGGAAAACAAAAAACTGTGGGACTGAGGTATAGAAAAAAGGGGGAAAAAATCCACAATGGACTTACTACATCAAAACGAGTTATGTACACGGTAATCCAACGGCATCCTGCGGACCGGTACAGTCTGTCTATGTGCTTCAAATGCTGGGCTTAAATTCACAGTGACTTTCAGCACTGAAGTCCTGAATGGAAAAGGGTTTTCTCCATTGCAAACCAAGTTTTGTGGCGACCTGATAACTGACCTCCCTGCAGCCAGAAAGCCGCTGCCTCCATCTGCACCGCGGTGCTGGGCCAGGGCACAAACTGCTGCCGGAGCAGCATCACGGACTGGCTGCGTGGAAATCCCAACGGAGGGGGTGCTCCTGCAGCCATCCATCCCCATCAGGGACTGTTCCTCCTGCCACCACCTTCCCACGGAGCCCGACCTCACCCGTCCCGTGCTCTGACGGCACCGCGCTCTCCTCTGCGTGCGCCCGGGGTGCTGAGCGGCTGCGGCCACGTGGTCCCTGCCTCCCAGAGCCAACGTTCAGGGCAGCTGCATCTCGGGCAGGTCAGGCGGGTTGCAGGGCTGGCCCTGCGTGTGGTGGCTCTGCTGCTGTGGGTGGAGGAAGTAGCTCAGGGGGTTCTGCTGTGGAGCGTGGGGTGGCTGGAAGATGCGCTGCGTTGGACCCCCAGGCACCAGCTCGGGACCTTGCATCTGTTGGGAGACACAAATCTGAGAGATCAGACCTGCCCCATCATCCAGCCACTCCCTCTCTTGCTGCAGGGCCAATGCTGAGAGTTGTACCCAGGAGTGTGTGTACCAAGTCCTAAAGGTAACCTCTACCCACTGAGGGTACGAGGTGTATCCCTTGGGATGCTGCTGCTGTCAGTACAACAGAGAGGAAGCAGAACCCATCTGTCCTACGAGCCCCACGGAGGGCCCAGCAGGAATGGAGACCTTCAAAAGCTACTTAGATGCATGGTAAAATCTGCAGGATGTGCAACTTTCATCTTCCATGGGAAGGACTTTCAGGCAACCAATGAAGAGGTTGCAGGGTGACCTTGGCCATGTGCCACTCTGTGGCCGGTATCCCAAATACTGGGACTTGCTGGTCAACCCCCTGTGAAAGGCACTGCGACACCAAAGCCTGGTTTTCTGTTGCCCTGGAGCTATTTATCTGTCCCAGCATCATTCTGCCATCCCTTTTGCTGGTCCTCTGGACCTCAGTGCAGCCTATGAGGACACGTACCCAAAGTGGGCATGGCTCATGCCCACATTTGCTGACAAGAACAATTCATTTCCCACTCTAAATCCAGTCCTGCTGTGTGGCTGCTTTCAGCTCCTGCTGCTTTTTGTTCTACCATCTTTGCCTGGAGGACTGTAACTTGCCACTTGTAACAACCAGGCAAGGCTGGGAGAGTGTGTTAATAATTAATGACTAGTTTCAACAACCCCTCTCCTTGGCAGCATCACTGGTTCAGCATACACTGATGAAAACAGTGTTGAAAAACCAAAATCACCTTCTCCAGAGATCTGTGTTGTGAAATACCCATTTATTAAAAGAAAGCCATGATGGCAGCTGATAAAGACCTTGCTCTGCTGAGACATAACAGCAGGAGGCATGTTTTGAAAAGAGCTTCTCTCTTATCATGTTTCATGTTTACAGCAAGCTTCCCACCAGAGCTGTGTTTTAAAAACTGGATATTTCTCCTGGACACTAGGTGATAACTGAGTTTGTGGCAAAATAACGGCCTTGAGCAGGTGCAGTCAGCCTAGAAAGGTTGAGCATGTGGCTTCGTGCAGACACAACGGGAATGGAGGATGTGCAAGTGCACTGACCAAGTTTGATCATCCTTCAAAAACCCCAACCAACCCCAAAGCCATCCCTGTGCCTCCTCAGAAACCTGTGCTCCAATACCTGAAGGTAGAGACGGTGCTGCTGAACCTGTTGCTGTGGCCACTGGTGGAGATGAACCGGTGTGCTGGCCTGGTGGGATGTGAAGCTGGTGTGTGGGATCATCAGAGATGGGGAGAAAATGGGCGGTGGGGCTGGAGGTCGGACGGTGCTACAGGTAGCTGGCTGTACCTGTGCTGGGGGAGGCAGGGTCTGCTGCTCCGCAACGAATCTGCCACGAGGAGGAAAATCAGGCGTAAGAACCCAAACCCAGACCCACCACCAGAACAAGGCACTGAGGAGCCCAGGTGGTGCAGGAACCAGACTGGAGCAGGGATTGTCAAACCACACAGACCCTGGTAACAACAGGCCCCAGATTTCCCCCTGCCACCAAACACAGACTGGAAATGCAGAAAATTAAGGTTTTTAAGGCTGTACATCTCCATGTCTTGGTAAGGCATTTTTATGATTTGCAGAAGCCAGAGAACAGTTGATTTTTTTTTTCCCAAAGCACTTTATTTATCATAAAGTTCTTTGTAGTTAAAAAATTATTTTCATTACTTTTTCCCCTAACCAGCTGAACTTTTCCTTCATTTCAGACTGATACAGTTTGTGATTGCATGACCAGGTGCAAGTTTTTCCAAGTTATTTTCAGTGTCATAAAGTGCCCCTGGTAAAACACTGTAGGAAAAAAAGAGCCAGCAAAGACTCACTTTCCTTGCTGCCTGCTGGCACTGCTCTGGCCACTGCTGTTGGCTGCAGGCATCATGGCTTGGATGGACTGATCCAACAGCATCCTGCAGTGGAACAAAACAGAGGATGGTCAGGGAAGGGAGAGGTTCAAGCTCCTGTCAGTTTCTAGAAACAAATCCCTGAAAATTCTCCATGAAAGCAGGCAAACCACCACCTTGAAAACTAGCTAATGGAACAGGATGCTTCTTAGCACATCACATCTCTCCTATGGAGACAGGCTGAGGAAGTTGGGGTTGTTCAGCCTCAAGAAGAGAAGGTTGCAGGGAGACCTTCAAGCCCCTTCCAGTGCCTAAAGGAGCTTTCTACAAAGGCATGTAGTGACAGGACAAGGGGAGAATGGCTTTAAATTGACAGAGGACAGGGTTAGATTAGATCTTAGGAAGAAATTCTTCCCTGTAAGAGTGGTGAGGTCCTGGAAAGTTGTGGCTGCCCTACTCCTGGAAGTGTTCGAGGCCAGACTGGACAGGGCTCTGAGTCACCTGGTCTAGTGGAAGGTGTCCCTGCCCATGGCATAGGAGTGGAACTACATGCTCTTTAAGGTCCCTCCCAACCCAAACCTGTCCATGATTCTATGATTCTAACGGACTTGCAGAGGTGAGCTGAAATTTGCTACATTATTTCACATAAGAAATACATTTAATAGATGATGAAGCCTCCATGGTTTATCCTGTTTCCTTAAACAATATTTTGGAACAGCTGGATCCTGTAGGCACTGTATCTCTGAAAGGTGGTTGAATAGTTTGGGACAGTTGTACATGTTTTATAGGATGTTACCAGCAGTATTAAAAAAAAAGGCTTTGCCATGGCACTTGTCCTGGCTGGAGAAAAGACACTCTGGAGCTTCAGAACTGTTTTGGGAAAGACTAGTTTTTCCTGTTTACCCTCTCTAACAGCAGCAGATGTCCAGAGGTTACTGAGCTACTTGGAAGGTAGGGCTGTGGGTACCTGAGGCTCCTGTCCTGGCTGTAGTCAGACTGGGGTTGCCTCTCGCTGCTGTCAGGCGGCATCTGAGCAGCCACTGCAATGGGGTGTGTTTGTGAGAACACCATGGGGTTGTTGTAGAGGGGCACTGAAATGCTTGCCTGCCCTGGCAGACACGTTTGCTGGCCTTGGCTTCCTCTCAGTAGGTGCTGCTGCTGCTGCTGTACCTGAAACAGAGATACCCATGTAAGTTTTAAAACTCCCTAACAGAACGTTAAAATAAGTGCTTAAAACGTGCAGATGGGAAAAGGGGAAGGAACAGCAAGACATTGTTCCCGAACACAGCAGTAGGAACAGCAGTATTTTTTCAGGACAACCAACCCATTGGCATTTATTGTCCCTGCAGGGCAGGTGCTGGCATTGCCAGCAGCAGAGACAGACAGTCCCTTGAGAAATCAGAGTGCAAGGGTAAGGGCACAGAAGGATTGAAGGGGAGGAGAACAGCTTAAGAGGGAAGTGTAAATCCAAAGTCCCCAAGGAAAGCATCTCTTTGTCCTTTAGAGCAGAAGTTTTGGCTTGTTTTGCTTTTGGAGAACTCAAGTCTTTGCCAAGAAGTGACCATCTTAATAGTGGATTTAGGTCTAGTGATGACAAAACCGTTTTTCAAAGCTGCCCTCCAAGACTCTTCGAGCAGAGGAAAATTAATCTTTCAAAAGGATGCCTACGCTCCTGTGTTATGAAGCCACAAACAAACAGTGGCTACAAACAAACACTGTGCTGCAATCACAAACACAAGTGACTGAGAGCCCAGACTTCCCACTCAGTTCCTCCCTAGGGTCGCCAGGGGGGCTCCAGCAGTCCCCAGGTTCAAGTGCTTTTCAGCTACCTTGCTTTCATTTTTGCCGTTGAAGTTGAATGACATCATTCACAACTCACTCCCAACACCAATTCTGTAATGCCAGCAGTGCAGAAAAACCAACACAGAGGGGATGCACGAGACCATGGTGGGGGAGGAGGGACATGGCAGGCAAGTATTTAAAAGCCAGGAATGGGAATGATGAAGACAAGGAAGCGGGCAGTGACCTGGGCGGCCGTGCCGTGGGGGTCCCTGAGGAACTGGCGCGGTGACGGCAGGTGGGTGCTGCAGTAGTGCTTTGTCCCCACAAGACCTGACTGTTGTGACTTCTTGGCTGTGCTCTGCCTGGGTGTCCCCTGGGGCAGTGGCCTCCGGGGACTCGGGTGCTGCACGTTGTTAAAGACGACGGGGATCGGCTGCTGCATCAGCATCTTTAAGTGAAAGAGACACACGAGTTGTTGTTGGTACTGCCTGGAAGAAATAACACTGCAGCAGCAGCATCTCTAAATCCAGGGGCAGAGTGAACCACGAGTAAAGGAAAATCAAATGTTAGCTTGGGCCAAATATTTATTCAGAGCCATGACCGTTCCAGATCCATTGTGCCTGCTGTGTTTTTCAGGAGCAGCACAAGGGATCCAGCAGCGCTGATCAGATGCTGAACCACCAAGCTTTTTGTGCAGAGAGGACTTTGGATTAGTTTGGGATTGGTTTTTTTGTAAATCCTGAATATTACTGATTCAATACTTAGCCACGTATTGATGTCACTCAGCTCTTGGGAGACACCACTCCCACACCTGAGACCAAATTACCAGTTTGTCCAAAGTTTGTTTCCGAATGCTTTTGCCACAATTTTGTTACTGATCTCTGTGCTCAAAGGAAAAGCAAATGGTTGGTGAGTTTGGGAGTCCCTAGGACAGCAAATACCTGCAGGTTGGAGTCCTGCACTAGCTGGAGCTGCTCCTTGATGACGTGGAGTTCTTCTTGCTGAGTCTTGATGTCAGCTTGGAGTATGCGAGTCCTCTCCTCCAGCTGCTCTTTCAGCTGATGCATCATCCCCAGCTGGGTCGCGAAATGGTACACTGGCTGCAGATAAAAGAGAAAAAGGATCACAGGGTAGGACCAGTCCTACCTACTCACACTCATAGTGATGCTGGCTTCAGAAAAACAACTGCTTTTCAGCTTTTGCCATAGAAAAGACAGTGCTGACAAAAAAATGGCAATTGCATGTTTAACCAAAGTACCACTGTAGTTCCAGAGCAGGAGCACATCTGGCTCACACTCAGTGCCTCACTCCAGCTGTTGGTCTGTTAAATTTCTGCAGTGTCTATACACAGATAACACTCTTGGTTTTGGGTGTTATCCAAAACCCTTGCCCCACCTCCTGGCTGGGCTTTCAGTTGTGCTGCTAATGGTATTTGTCAAATGTCAGGCCCAAGTTACGCTGCAACAGAAAGGGCAGAAAATCCTTGCCCTCACTCTGAGATGAGCCAGCAAAGGAGGTGAGGGCAATGAATCAGAGCCACCAAGGCTGCCCCACTGACTGGTCACACCAGCGTACTTAACAAAGATAAACCACGTACCATCACAGGGTGCTGGGAGGGGACTGCCAGCTGAGCCACAGGGTGCTGAGGGAGGTGTTCACCAGGGGCTTGAGGAGTGGCTATGGCCTAGAAATGAAAATTTTGCCTTACTGTAGGTCCATAGCACCTCTAGCTCAAAGCTGGTGCTGTACCCGCTCATACCAGGGATGAACAAGTGCAGGGAATTAGACAACTCCTGCATGACCCTGCTAATTGCAAGTCCTTGGTGTCATCATCCATTTTGGATAAAGGACATTTCATATGTACAAACCCCAAGAGAAACAGGCTGGTGGCATAAGAAGCCATTTAGCCTGGAGGAGCAAAATGAATCCTGAAAGGAGGCAGCAGAAGAGCCTCTGTCCTCTCTCCACTGGCTCTGCCAGCCAGTGCTGCTCCCCACAGCCCCGAGAAATCCCAGCACACTCAGAGCGGGGGATCCAGCACCTCTGAGGGAGAGACCAAGGTTTCTTTAACAGCCTCAGAAAGGCTTTTTGCTTGTGAGGCCAACTGACCTGAGTGCTTCCGACTGGTGCCAGCCGCAGGGCTGCCTTCTCTGCCTGCCCCCCCGGCACTGACGGCCGCGTGGGAGTGCTGGTGTCCGTGCGCCGCATGGATGACGTGGCTGGAAAAGAGACAGTTCATGACACAGCAGCCCCGCGCCTGGGTACCCTGGCTGAGCCTGAACTCTGCAGATGCAGATGAACAGTGACCCAAGCACTGCCAAAGCGGGTCCCCAAAGTGCCCCTTTGAGGTCCCTCTGGCTTCCTGCCCGACTCATTGGGGTCCCTTCTGATGCCACCCCCACGTTTCAGTCTGCCCTCCACGGGTGAATCCAGATGAGATTCCCACTCTCCCCATGGCAAGTATTTCAAGAAGAATCCCTCGAGTCATTTCCTACACACGGCCCTGCACGGGCACTGTGATCACCTCACTGCCAGTCCCAGGGAAGGGGTGGCACTCACAGGAGCTGGGGTGAAGCTGCCAGCAAGGCAGGCATCCTTCTGTGCTCCTTCTGCAGGGATTTAGCACTGGAGACCCCATAATAAAATTATATTATCCCAAAAGAAAACTTGTCAGTGAGGCTGGGGGATCAGTCAAGCTAGTTAGAGCCACCTCCTGTCCTCTGAGCCACAGCAAACAGCCATGACCCTCAGCTGGTGACACACCGAGGGAAAGCTGCTCTCACACTGGCAGTGGGCTAAGCAGGAAGAAGTAGCACAGCACCGTGGCTCTGTTGCTGCACCATAAATTTCTATGACACGGTATGCCAGTCTCAGTGCTGAGCATTTCCCTCCCACCCCGCCCTGGTCACTTCCAGCCAAGCCCCACTATTTTGGAGGCTGCTCTGTCCTCCAGCCCACTCCTTGCCCCCATGCTGGGATGTCCCTGGCACCTACAGGTGGAGTCGGAGAGGGCGGTGTGCGAGGAGCGCCGGGAGCTGTGGGATGACAGCGACACTCCCTCCCGGCTGGCATCCTGGCTGCTGCCGCACTGCCCCACGTCCAGGTAGCTGCTGTGGCTCTGCGGGGAGCAAAGCACAAGTGGTGAGATGGTCAGCAGGGAAGAGACAGCACTGGAGGGGTCCTCCACCTCCCTGACCCCTTGTTTGCAGAGAAAAACAACCGGCTGGGTGTGCAGCACCAAACTCAGTTGTGAAGGGACACGGTACCTTTAGAGAAGAGGATGCCAGTTCAATTGATGACTCTTCAAGGCCAAGATCTCGCCTTCTCTCAGCCCGAACTTCTGCATAACTAAAAAACAAAAAAACCCCAAACCCCATTTCAAGTCCAGTTTTTCAATCTAGATATTGTTTACTCTGTGGTAAGTACCCTACTACACAGGCCGCTGTGAAGTTTTCACGCTGAGTCCCAAGCTTTGCACAACACATACACTCTTTCTCTCAATGTACAATGTACTTAGAGGAACATCATCATATAGAAATTCCACAAATCAGAAAAAATAGGGCAGTGTCCCATCCCACTGCACCCAGGACTGTACAGCCTGTAGGATTAATTGCACTAATCATTCCAAGCACAAAAGCAGATGTTCCTTTGCAAATTTTGGCCCTGGATACCTTCAAGTGAAACTAATCTAAAAGAAAAGTGCACTTGGCTGTTGAAGACAAAATGGGTGTCTTTGTCCTCAGTACAATTTTCCTAATAAAGGAGTTTCCCATTTTCCATAATCAGGCAGAAAAATGATCTCACAGCTTCTGTGCAGGTAAACTCCCATAACAAGAGTACATTCATTGTCCAACCTCATGATGACCAAGAATCAATTTTTTTCCATGTGATACAGTAGCTCAGTGATCCCTATGCCAGGGCCTTGGGAAGGAGGAACTCAGCTCCCTCTTTCTGAGGGTGCACACAATGTGCTGCATCAGAGTGAACACTCTGCACTCCACTGGAAGCTCCAAATACAAACCAGCAGCTGCCCAGGTGCAATGCAAAGTGCAGGAATTCCCAGGAATGTGCCTGGAAAAGTGCATATTTGCTTTCCTTACTTTTTTCCCTCTTAAAAAATAAAGTATGTACACTAAACAATGCCACGATTCACCACTGGAATAAAACAGAGAGGATGTTTTAAAGACTCTGAGTGCTTATTAGATACTGGAAGGGGCTCAAAGGTCTCTCTAGAACCTTCCCTTCTCCAGGTTGAACAGCCACAACTCTCTCAGCCTGTCTTCACAGGAGACATGCTCCAGCCCTCTGACCATCTTCATGGCCCTTCTCTGACTCACTCCAACAGTTCCATGTATTTCCAGTTTACTAATGTTTGCTTTTCCAGATGTTTGACAGGAAAAAGAGGGGGACCATAAAAATATCACAAATTAATTCTTGACAATAAAGAAATACATGGGGAGCAATAAATCTGCTCAAGTTAATAGGGCAAACCAGTGTGTCACTATTTTTTCAAGCCCTTCAGTGAATATATTCTCACTCTGAACACAGTCTTTTTTGAGATGGCAGTGGTAATAAAGCAGATACCTCTCCAGAATGTGCATATCACAGAACATTCCACACATGCACTGCCTTCCAGCACGGCACTGGAAGTCAGTGTAAGCAGCTTTCCACTAGGGGAGGATCTTGTGCTGGATTTGGGGTGAGGAATAAGGCTTGCAAGCCAGCAGCTAACTTCAAGTCATAAATATTTAAAAGTCTGATCAAAACGTTTTGTGGGAGATATATGATCCCATTCATGGCCATAAAGCCACCTCATTCTTAACATTCTTTCAATGGCCATGTCATCACTAGAGATAAAAGGGGAATGTTACAGGTCGTAGACTTGGCCAACAATGGCTTCCAGGTTTTTGGCCCGGTTGGTGAAAAAGGAAAAAGAGTAATTAAAAAACATGTTCCCTGTCATTAGAGTTTTACGGAATTACATACCATCTTAGCGTGTCAGTAGGCACAGCAAATATTTGGTTAACATAAAACAGAACTAGAAAAAGTAATGGCCGAACACCGAGACATAATCTGGGAAGGGTTTGGGGCTTGCTCCTACCTAACTACCAGGTGAGTGCAAACGATGAACTCGGGCTTGGAATTCCACTGGTGGTAGGTGATGTAGTAGTGTGTCTGCAGCCATATCCACTGCTGGCCTTTGGTCAGGAACCGATAGTAACAGGACTTTCCTTTTCCAAACTGCATCACTGTTTAACAAAAAAAGAAAGCAATTTGTAGCAAACAGGGATTTCCTGGTGCAAAGGTGATTAGAAAAACCATCGGGTCCCACACACTTCCCACAGACTGTGTCAGTGCCAAAATAACTCTTGAGCTTTATAAACATGACAGATGATACGCAACCACGTACTCAGCTTTTGTTTGGGTCCTTTTCTGCTGACTTTCAGGAGTGCCCTTTGGTATTTTGTCATTGCTCTCACAACTGGTATAACTGTATCACTAACTACATACTTATAACTTATCCATGGGCTCCCCTGAAATAAGCATAAATAACACTAATTAAAGTATTTGCCTTCCACATGTACATGAGAACGCATTTCAGACACTGAAGAAGTCAAAATCCCAATAAACGATAAGATAGTGGAGTTTTAACAGTTTAACTGAGAGTGGCAGAGATTGGGGGTGATTTGCAACTCAGAGAGGAAGCAGCTTGTCTCACTCCAGTGGGCTGGGGGGCTGTGGAGTTTCTTGGTCCCTGCTTTGCACTGCTCTGCATCTCAGAGTAATTACAGCATCCCACTTGCTCCACTCTCTGGGGTGTCCTTCTTTCCTTTTTGACAAAACACTCTCCTTTCAAGCAGAGATAACAGAGAGACCAACAGACATTTTTCCCACAGGAAACCTGTAAGTAATATTTCTCAGCAAAATATCTGATTACCCAGATGCATTATACAAAGTATATAGTAATTTTTTATTGCAGTGCCTGGCAATGCAAAGCCACCGGAGGACAGACATAATTCTGGCTCAGTAGTCTGAAATGCACCTAATAAAATGGGAAAATCATGAACTCAGGAGTAAGGCATCTCACATCTGGTAGGAACAGCACACTGATTAAGAGTAGACCATATGTGCAGACACCTTTTGCCCTCCCTCACATCAGCTCCAGCCTTCAGCAGGCTGCACTGTTGCAGTACTCAAGCGAAGTTCTCCCTGTGCCCTGGCTCCCAGGGGTCACACTATTTCTCTTTGCACAAAGGTGAACTCAACACCTCTTTGGTGTTCATTCATCAGCCTGAACTGGACTCTTCTGTTTTGCTGCTTTACTTTCAGGCCGACCAAACATGAGGCATCTTTACCCACAGGGAAACTGTATTCGGTACTTCTGGATTTTAAAAAAATTCTGAGTCTCCAGAAGCATTTTACTGATGAGTAAGTGAGGTTCACAACATCTAATTGCACAGGTAAGTGAACCAAATGTTGCTCTCAGAAGGCATTTTGGTGAGCTGAGCCCCATGGCTGGTTCTGGAGCCCAGGGTGAACAGCAAGAACTGTGACAATCAACAAAACCCACAGAATTTGGGGCTGCCCTCACAAACTGGGGGCAGAAGGGGGAAAGTTGTGACTTCCAATCTATTAATCTCAGACAACGTGTGCTCAGACAAGATATCTGCCAATTTAGGAAACCTGCACAAACAGTTCCTGATCTGAGTGAATTCTGCAGATTTCAACCTCTCAGGTAAGCGCCAGCTGTGACAGTCTGTCAAGGGAAGAGAGAATTCCCTCTTGCCCCCAAAGCAGATGACTTTTGTGATGACAGTAAAGGGTTTTGCACAAGTGACAAATGAGATCAAAGGCAGGCAGGCTGCAGAGGGAGGGGAACTTACAGTGTTCATGGCACCTTGCAAGAAGCTCCAGGTCATCTGCGTGGTAGTAATCATACCCTGACGTTCCCAGAACCTCAAAGGGTAAATATCCTATAATAGGTGGAGCCCTAGAAAGGAAGCAAAGGGCAGGGAATGAGCACAAAACCTGATAGTTTGACATCTGGCAGATAGGCTGTGACACCAGCAACAAAAACCTCATTCGTTCAGTCGGCAGGGAAATCAGGAATGGTTTTTCACATACGCAAAAAGGTATCTTCATATACTAACAAAACAAACAAAAAAAAAACCACAGCGAGGGAGAGGTAAAAATTGAGAAAATGAAAAGGTGTGTGTTTACTGTTTCACAGCCTATTCATTACGTGGGTGTAGAGAAAGGCATGTACGTATGTGAGTGACTCAATTCATTAAGGATGCTTGTGAGACACGCAGCTTGAGAAACGCTACGGCTGCTCCTGTGCACAACAACTTGGAGCTGGAGTAAAATTATCCAGTAGGTTGGATGTAAATGTCATCTCTGGTAGGAACTGGAGAAGAAAGAGCAAGTGGGAAGCTGCAGCGTGTGTCAGGACCAGTTTGGGGAAAAGAAAAAGCAATGGCTCTCACGGAAAAATGTAGGAAATTATAGCCAGCAAAACTTCCTATACTGGTAGTATTGATAGCAATAGGTATGGGGCAGATTTAGGACTGCTTTTGCTTTGGCAGGTAGATAAGGAATCAATGAAGTATTTGGGTAGGCACATTGCAGTGACTTACTTCATTACTGTGCTGTCATTTCTAGATTTTCCATTTTCTAGGCAAAATATGAGTTTTGGTTTTTTCAAAGAAGTGTCCTAACAACACAGAGCATGTGCACAGCCTTCACTGGAGCCTGATAGTTTATGACTATGAAACAACACTGAAATGTGAGGAGAAAACCACTGTTTCTGTCTCTCCTCCCCATGTCAGCATGCCACCCTCCCTCCTCCAGCACTCAGGTACACTCCTGCTCGCACCAGCTCAAGCTCCACACTCCCTCAGTGAGGCAGGACCTGTGCTAACGTGGCTCCACCTGTTTGTTCTGGCTGCAGGATGTGCTGATAGTGTGGGGCTCACCTGCCAATATCAGCGTTTTTCGTAGCAATAAGGTGGTGGTGTGTTGGTGAAATGGTTAACGACCCAAAATAGGGCAGGCTGAAGGGGATGGTACCTTATCAAACCTGCCTCCCCCGCTGCCTTTCTCTTGGTATACTGAGTGCTCTTAAGGAAGGTGAGTGTCAGAAAGTGGCTAAGAATAGAAGCAAAAAGTGATTTAAATGTAGTACATTTGGATTTGGATGGATCAGTCCTGAGTTCCTTGGTTATTAACATGGGAAGTTCTCTCTTGGCTAAGGCACTCAGCTCTCATTTGCACTCTTGAGAGACACAGTGCATGCAGATTAGTCAACTAAAGAGAGCCCAGGCAGGTCTATAACCTCCCTCTTCCCCACAGTTGCAGGCAGGCTGGCACCAGATGGGAAATGGGAGGAAAAAGAGGACAGCTAGGGGTCTGCTCAACAGCAGTCCCTGGAGGATCAGGGTGTGAGCAGGAGCTCCTGAGTCCCAGCACAAGGGGTTAGCTGGGAAAGCCGGTTCTCCTCTCAACAGCAAACCTCTTGAAACAGAGTGTGCTGAGTACACAGTGGTCTCTGCCACAATGCAGCTTTATTTATTCAAGTAACTTTTCATAGAGCACTGTGTTCCTTTCCCTCACGTGACCCAGATTTCTGTTAACGATGATAATATGAGTATTTATGAAAGTGTCCTTCCTTGCTGTCACTTTGGCAGAATGCATCACTGTCTCTCCTATTTTTAATGACATACTTCTATTCAAGACTATAATGTCTTTGAGATGCACATCAGATAAACACTTAAGCTGATCAGGAAAGTATTATGCTTTCCTGAATATTGCCAGGGCTCTTTGTATGAGAAAGCAACCACAAAATGTTCCTCATCTGTCATCTCTCATTGACAATGAGCTGCCTTGCCTGTGGAGCAATTTAAAAGTGTTTTGTTAGCTTAAGTTCCAGCCTTGAGACCTGCAACTCGCTGTGCAAATGGGAATGCACAGTCTTCAGAGAGCCTTTCAGATGCACTCTTCTAATAAATGAAGGGAAAATAGAAACAGTACCACAGTGCAGAAGAGGAATAGATCATTATCAAAGCTGACAGGCTTTCTTCCTCTACACATATTTACAGATAGACCCAGAATACAGATTTTTCCTGTTTCTCTCATGTTTATCCAGATCTATGGAATCCTTTTTGCACTATCTATCTTTACTCTGTTTTAAGTTGTGATCATGATAGGAAAGGTCCCGGTTCCTGCTCCTGCTGGGAACCCTCTGCCCCTGCTGATGGCATATCTCAGCATCAGGCAGCCTGTGTTGATGCAAATAAGCAAGAAAGAGCAACATTTCACAGCACCCTGCAGACTGTACTGGAGAGCAGTTTGAATCAATGATTAAATGAGACAACCCCCACGATCTCATGCTCATTCTTGGGTTTGGGCTCACTGCTTACATCTGGGGCTGTCACAAGCTCTGCCTCAGCATCTGCATCAGCTTAATTTCCTCTCAGTGACAATGGTTTCCTCGCCAGGGATATCAGTGGGACTGGAGTGGCTGCAAGCACCCAGCACGGAGATTCCTCTCTGAGTCATAACCCAGGTTCATCAGAAGACTCTTTGTCAGGTTTCAAAGTAGTTCCTGCTCACCTTATTCACAGGAGCTGCTGGGACACAGCAGCTCACTCCACCAGTGAGGTAAGGGGCTTAGGGCTCTTTTACCATCTTTAACATTAATTCAGCTGATTCTGAAAACATGCATTATTGGACAGGCCAATTAAAGTCCAACAAAGCCACTCCAGTGAGATTTCCATACACCAGTAATGATCTGACTGTCTCAAACCACACAGCATCAACTGTAGGGCTGTCACAGGGCCAGTTCCTCCATGCTTTAAAATATGATGTGTGAGGGACACATCTTGTGTATTACACAAATGAAAGTTATAAAATTAATAAATTAATAAGTTATAAATTAATAATAATTTATATTTGCTCTCTCTCTTTCTTGCTCTAAATGTGCAGATGATATTTAGGTTTTTTCCTCATAGATATTTTTTCCTTACAGCCTTATTTACTAGTCTTCTATTTCTAGTAATTACTATCTTTGCACAGCTCATGAGGCGAGGGATAGTGGAAAGGGTAGGATTTTGCAACGTGCTTATGCATACATGTCAAATAAAGAGAAGTAAAAGAGTGAATAAAACCCTCTAGCTTCTTTTGAAGAAAATGAATCCTATATTAATCAGCTTAATAAAGCAGTTCCAGTCTGTTTCATTCACCAAGCTGAATCCTAGCCCACCATATGGCATTGTCAAAAACTAATATAAATTAAATCTTAGAATCTGCTGTTTTTTCTTTTATTTTCATAAATGCCATCATTTCTCAAGGCGAAAAATCAAAAATTTATTGACACCACAAAAGACTTAGAAGGATGCCTGGAAGATGTAGTGGTAGAACAAAAGAACTAAACCCATACAGGGAACAGGACTGACATTGCTCAGTTTCAATGACTTATTATCCTGGTGAAGTTAGACATTTTTCTAGATGTTTTCCATCATTTTATACAGTTTCTTACCTGCCTAAAATATGGAAAAGAGTGAAGCACTTAAGGATGCCTAGTAAGTTCACAATAGTGTTACTTACTCAGTCGCACTTAGTTAGAGCTATTCCTCTTGGGATCTCTGGCAAAAGCTACACAAAAAGTTTCCTATTTTTAAACTACAGTTTATTTATTCTTCTGTGATTAAACCCAAATCTCTTACCTGTGGTCCAAGAATAAAAACTTCCATTCTAAACTATGCCTCGATGTAAATTCTTCACATGGCTCTTCAACGTTGCAGAGCTCCTGCAAAACAGTTGGCACATTGAGACATTTAATTCTGTGAAGTGACAAAAGGAGCCTGCTATCAAGACCAAGGATGCATCCTGTTGATATAATAAACCATAGCAAAATGCAGTGCTCATAAAGTCCTTGACTTATTTTCCTCTAAGGAATACATAAGCCTTGTTTTATGGATGCACGAACTGATGAAAAGTGGCTGAATAATTTACCCTGAGCTGAATTTCAGAGCTAGGATATATAGTCCAAGGGTCTCATCTAGCACTCTGTAGGCAAAATTCCCCAGTTTTTTGCAAATATTGGCATGTGAATATGGATAACGGAGCTGGCTGATGCCCTCCTGAGCAAGCAGCACCTACGGTCGTTATCCCTGTCGTAACTGCATTGCACCACGGGACACTTACAGATTAGCAGAAAGAGCCCAGGAAACGTGGTTTCAACCATGACACACTGTTTCAAGGTGCAGGTGGCTTCCTTACACCAAGGGTGGCGGGATGCACGCCTTTGAAGGTTGCAAATTCCCAAGCTCACCTCATCTTGGTGCTTGCGTTGGGACATCCCATCGCACAACCAGCTCTTCTCAAAAGCAGCTCCCGCTTCATTCCTCACCTTTCCAAAATACACTCCCAAGCACAGCGGTGTCCTCTCTTTACTGAATCCCTGCACAGACACCCCGTGCTGCTCCCCGAGGGGCTGCTGCAGCCCGGCTCCCACACACCCATGGAGTGCCCACGGCAGCTCCACTGGCGGGCACCAGCTGAGCCCCACACAGAGGGCAGAGGCGGGCACAGGGCTCTCACCTTTAAGAACTGCGGCGTGACGAGACGAACAGTCGCGACGAGGCAAATCTGCTCCTCCGTGGCTGACCTGAAAGCTCGTGCAATAGCTGACTCAAAGCCATTACAGGAGGGTGTAGGCACTAGACACAACCAGACAATTTATTTAAGAAGAAGAGGAAGGAGAGCTTTCTTTTCATGTCAAGACAGGTACAGTGACTGATGACACCCCAGCAACCAACTCCTCCTACCCACAAAGTGATGCCACACTGATACACGCTGACGTTATGTAAAGCATGACCCTTTAGGCTCCAAGTTACAGGGCTGTATAACCACCTATCCCTGGCTTGCAGGGGAGCTTTGTAACCCAGCTCTGAGCAGCTCAGAGTGTGCAGCTGCAGTCTACCTGTCAGCCTTTCTCCAGGTCACCATTTGCAAGATTCAGGATTTTACAGGTATATCAAACTATTTAATCTTTGTAAAGTGTCATTTCAGTGCCACGAGTGAAACAGAACAGTATGTTTTACTGGTTATTTGAATGAGTAGGCTGCTTTGCAATTGGCAGTGGGTCAACTGGAGGCGTTATCAGTCTGGTATCAGCTTTAGGCACAGCATGCAGGAGAGTGCACTCCTCTGATCTACAGCCTCATCACCACTTTTGTATCAAAAACATATTCAATATATCCACAGCTCATTTCATCCCTGACAATTACAGGGCATTTTCAGCTGAAACAAGGTCTTTAGGATGCTACAGATCAGGACACAATTTAAAGGAAAGAGGTGAAGAAGGTAGGCTGGAGCAGTAACTTACCATGAGTAAAATATTTAAAATCCACTACAAATTTCACATATTCATACATCAGGGGTTCATTTGGATCTAAACTGCCTCTTGCTAAATGGCAGCAAAACTCTATTTGTTTTTCTGCTGAAATGAGAGAAAGAGAGAGAGACACAGGCAATGTTATTAGAAGTCTGCACTTTAGCACACTCACATACTGAATTTATCTAGGTGCTTACACCAACCCTGCTGGGATGCTCTTGAAACCCCAAAGTAAATATATAAATACTAGGAGCAATTATCAGCTGGTTCTGCTTAAGGAAATGTATTCTCACCCTTTCTCCCGTGGCTTTGTAGTCACTCCAGTACTCTGGGTGTGAAGCCCTGGCTACACCAGTCAGGGGGATTTTCCCCTGACTTCATAGCTTGCAGAATTTCATGCAAAGCAGTTACATGCCATTGCAGCACTGTGCTCTGGCTCTGCTCAATAGGACCCAGATCCAAAGGGCACTGAACTCACCCTCAGCCTCTCCATTAAGAGTGGAGGGCACCGTGCCAAGCTCTCATCCAGTTTTCTGCCCCAAGTCTGAACTCTATGGATTAGACCACACGGCCTTCAGCCAGGGGGAAACCACCCTCAGGGCAGAGCATCAGCAGCACAACTTCCCACTGATGCTCACGGGGCACCAGTCCTGCTCAGCCATGGTGAACCCACTGGGAAAGGGGGATGCCAACACAGGCTTGGTAAAATGTGGATGACAGGAAGATGCTGCTGCCTGCTCTGGTGCTGGGGATGTTTTCTAGGAGAAACAGACATTCTGGAGCGTGGGACAGCAGCCAGCAATACAGATCTGGATGGACTGTTCAGATAGGAAGGCTGATGCTTAAGTTACATTAGAGTTTCTCTTGTGCCCTGAGACATGCAAGCTTCCTAAGGAACACAGGCTCTGCCAAAACCCTGTGAGATTTCTCCAACCATTTTCCTTTCCCTAAGCCCTCACTCCTTCCTCAGGTTCAGTCCCACCTGAGGAAAAACATCTAGTGAGGGCAACTTCACTGTCCCATGGGACAAAGCAGACAGCAAAACAAAGACTGTCCAAATCAAAGAGCAAGTACTGGGAACACATAGGAACATTAGATGATGTGGTGCACTAAAACCCACAAATGCAGCAAAACAGCAGTGGCAGGCAGAAGAATTAAATAGCTGGAGAACCCTGTGCAGGCTCCCCTGGGAGCTGTTCATCTTTGGCAAACTTCCCTGACCGACAGACAAGAGCAGAGCTTACCATTTAGAAAATCAGCTGCAACAGGATCTGTCATGAGCACATGTGGAGAAAGGAGCTTGTACACTTCGCTCTGTTCCCGCTCAGGCAGAAAGTTTAATATATTTTGGTCCACCAAATCTGACTGATACAAAAGAATGCTTTGTCATGTTCAGCAGTACAGCCTGACACAACCACACACCTTTTCATCCCACAGCAGAGCACAGACACTCCTGGTCTAGCTGATGCCTAAGACAAGGAAGCCCAGTCAATCTGCAGATGGATCTAGGGCAGAACACAGCCCTTAGGTTATTTTACCCCAGGGTTAATATCTATTTCTAAAATGTTGAACAAGTCCCAGAGTTTGCCCCCTCAGTTCAGGGAGATGCAAGTAGGAGAAGAAACCCTGGTACCACAGGAATGTAACATGATGATAAGTATCATTTCAAAATGAAAATTTGAAGCATTTTCATTTGGAAGCATGACAGAAGTGAGAGAGCTCCTCCTCACATCCTCTATTTGTCTTCTAGGCTGAACATCTGGCAAAATCAGCTTAACCTGCAAGTGATTCAGTGCTGATCAACCCACACATCCTGACTAAAGGGGTTCTACCAAAATGTCAGCGTGGATTTGTTCTTTGCAGACCAGGACATTCAGCTAACCATGTGCTCAAATTGTTGGTGCCTCATGCTTGGCACCAGATAAAGAGAAAAATGTTTTTGAGGGGCCAAGCTGAAATTTATGCACCTGACAGCTAACTGGTTTCTAGAAATTCTCCCAGAAAACTCTGAGGCCACACATTTGTTACTCAAGACTACGGGATAGAAGTAGGAAAACCCAATGTCATCAGAAGAGCATAGATTTAGTCCTGAAATAATATTTACATTATCTAAAAAGACCTTCAGCACCGATTTCACAAACATAACATTTTCAATGTACCTGGCTGGACACCTCCCAGACCATCTTTTAGATGTGCAGCCAAGTGATGAGCTACGGGTACAGTGATTTTGCACAGCTGATTTTTTTTTAGATAACTCACAGACCCTGAGAGAGAATCTATTATTCACAGGAAGCTTGAGAAACTACCTAACAGTTTGTTGGTTAACCCCCACACCAGTCAGTTGCCTCTTTGGTGGGACAAAATCAATCCCCAGGCCTGCAATGACAGGTTGCACCAAGGAGGGGAATGAGCTTCATGTTGAGTGGTCAGAACTTACCGGTAAGTGTCCGAGCAGAGATGAAACACTATCAGATACATAAATAATAATCCCATCAGTGGTAAGAGCAATGAGAAAGCCATCCAGTGCCTAATGATAATAGACAGACAAAAAAGAAGAAAAAAAATAATTATGCAAGGTAACAACTTAGAATATAATAGACTAATTGATTCTTTAGTGATGCTTCTAACAGCCTAAATTTAGCAGAAGCTAATCATGGAAATGATAGTTCAATGTGGGAAACCAAAAATTATACATGCCGTCTAATTCAACATTCTTCTTATATTCTTATTTGCTCATTATTGTTAAATTGACTTGTATTTTTCACCCAGTGAGCAATTATTTAACATGAAGCAAAACAGGGATGCTTAGAATTTCGACACCCACACAATCCCAGTGACTTCAGTCGCTTCATTATGTGTTCTGAGTTACACAACTGAGTTAACAAACTCAGTGCGTAAGGAGATGGTAGATATCATCACAGCAAACCCAGCACTGTGGATGGATGGGTGGATGGATGGATGGATGGATGGATGAGGAGAGATAGTAAATTGATACAATGATTTATTTTTAGCAATTTATGGACAACATAGAGAAGATTTAAAGCCTTATTTATTTTGATTAAAGTACTGGTTTGTAAGGCTAGTGACAAAACAATTTTAAGGCTTGTTTTGTTCCCCTTTCATGTTCGCAATGATTTCTGTCCCAGAGTCAAAGCTCTCTGTCCCTTTTAAGTCACTGCCTGTGCTTTCCTCCTTGAGTGTTCTCCCTGTTCTTCACAACATCTCCTTGTACCATTTACTCAGTGTCTGTCCCTATTCTTCTTTAACATCAAGATCTGGGAGGTTTAATAGCTGGCCAGCACCGTGCACAAAGCCAGCTCTTCTAAAGACACTGTTAGGTTGCTCTGCACCTTGGATACAGGGAGCCAAAGATACAGCACTCACCATCTGCCCCCACCTCACTGCCTTTGCTCAAAATAAGTCCTCTCTGGGAGAAAAAACAGTGACTTCAAGCAAACTGCTTAACTGGGTAAGTCTAACAAAGTCCAGCAAGCCAGCAATTATTAAAGGGCTCGCTCTCCCCGCCACTTTGCAATCTAAGGGGGGAATTTGTTTTGATTCAGCTGGAACAAGCAGCTTGTTTGGTGAGAGAGATTCCCAGAAAGAATGAACAGACTTTTCCAGGGAGGTGAGTCATGACATCCTGATGAAAAGGAGTAACTAAGACACTGCAGCACCTCCCAGTTCAGCCCAGCATACACCCTTATTTTGGTGGGGCAAAGAGCAGCAGCTGCCCACACAGGGTAGGAGATGTCCTTGCCAGAGGAGCACGAGCACAGACCCAGAGCCACAGCCTTAAGAAAGGAGAAATGCAGGCTTGGGGGGTGTTTCTAGACCAGTGAAGCATTTTAGAGGTGGGAGTATCGGAGCTGTTCTCCTGAATGCACTTAAAGGCAATCCAAGCAATCCAAGCACAAGAGACAGCACTCGCATCACAAGTACAGCAGCTCACAGCAAGCAGCTGCAGAGGCAGCAGAGCTGAAGCTGCCTGGCTAATGGGATGTGGGAGGAAGAGAGCTGCTCTGCTTTTTTCAGGTCCTTTCAAGTTTTCCCTAAAACTGCTAGCTCTAGCAGCTCTTCTGAGATGGGAAATTCTCTTTTTCCTCTCTCACCAGGCCAAAACTGGGCCAAATCAGACTCCATTCCTAAATGAAAAGCCGTTTATCTTTCAGGGGAAGCAATCATATTTTTAATTCTGTGTCTGCAAAGCACATTTAGCACACTGGTCTCTGTCAGATTTGTATTGTATGTGCCAGCAGAGTAGAAATCATTAGCATTGGGACCTACAGGTGAAAAGGAACTGTGCATCTCTGAACTACTCCACTGAACTGATTGCTTCTCACTAATCTGTGCAGCTTTAATTTCTTCTTACCTCTAACATCAACTGGGTGAACTCCTCGTTGCTAAGAAATGAAGGCTTCCAGTCTTGTCTAATCTCACAGGCTTCTGTCTGTGCTGTGATTTCTTAAAGAGAAAACATCAAAAAAGCAACATGACTCATGCTACTTAGATTTTTTTTTCCTTTTCAAGTAACACTAGATTTCTTTAAAGAGGGCTTTCAGAGGAATCATCCACAGATCTTCACACAAACCCTTCTTGCATGCAACAGTCGTTTTCTATGCCATCACAATACAAATACATTAGAAATCAAGAAAGGGAAATGAAGACATTTCGGGTAGTCTGAATATATCCTTCAAAAATTATGGTCAGTGGACTAATTTCAGAGCAGTAGAGCATTCCTGTGAGCAAGGGGTGTCTGTGACTCTGGAGCTGTTTCAGTAAGGCTCTCAGGAGTGCCCAGGCAGCAGGAAAGGCTGCACCCAGTCATCTCCTAATCCAGGAGACCTGGGAGCATGGCATAGAATCCTCTTTCCCCTCGCTTTTGTAGTGGGTGCTGTTCCTCAGTTTTTCCTTCCCTATGCTCTGTTTGAGTGTGCAAAGCAGGCCAGGGGATGTGGAGACCATTGATGGAAAAGATGTCTCTGCATTAAAGAGAATCTTTTCAAATCTATCTGCATTTAACTGGTCAGCAATTTAGCCCATTTCCTGAGGCCAACTCCTGTGCCTTATTCTGCCCCTCACTTAGGCTCATGCCTCTCTCTGGAGGTCTGAGATGCTTGAGAAAAAGAGTTTTCCTTTTCTGAGTGGAAACTCAGTGTCTGCTGGGCAAATGCAGAGCCAGCAGCCTCCAGTACCTTTCTGTTTCTGTAGGAAGTCGATGGTCCTCTGCAGTATTGTGGACTTGTCCATCTTGAGAGGGTGGCCATGGCCCTGCAGCATCGTGCAAAGCTCTTTAATGAGGACATTGAACTGGTCCCTCCTCTTCTTTTCAGATTTGTTGCGTGATGCCCTGAGCGACAGGAACATAAATGCCACTAAGCAGAATGAAAGAGCTGCAGCTCGAACCAGGGTGAGGCAAACTGCCCTGTCCCTGCAAAACACTGTGTCGAGTCTAGCTGCAGAAACACAGATTCCAGCCAGAAACACTAGTTTCCAGCTCACATTAATACAATTTAAGAATGTTTCATTAGGGCTTTCCCTTCCATTAAAAATGATAAAGGAGGAAGCAAATCCATTCAGTGTTCTTTCCAATGCTCGTATCTGAGAGAACCCTATTTTCATACAACATCTTGCAGGAGTAATTAATTTGCTTTACAAGTGTATTAATGATGATACATGCTTCCTGTGATCTAGGTTGAGTTTGGTATGCAGAAAGCATTTCCATTCATATTCTAGTTGGCATTTGGAGGTTCTCAGATCCAGCATTTACGTTCACAGCCATCTCTGTTTTGGCACTTGTGTATGATGACTAATTAGAACTGAGCCAAATGCTTCTCTGATGGGAGACTAACTCATACCCGTGCTAAAGCAGGACTACTCCCTAAGTTTATATCCCAGGTGGGTAGTACTGCTTGATGCCAATAAAATCTCAGGTCAGAAGTCCTGCATCAAGATAATAAATATTTATCATGGGATAACGTGAGATCCTAAGGGCACAACAATGTAATTTAAGGACCACTCAGTTGATTAACCCATGGTAGGAGTGGGCAAACACTATGAGAAGTCTGAGAATGGTGACTTAATTATGTGGTGTAAACTGCAGGGGGCTTTGACATCAGTACTGTCAAGTCCTTTGTCAAGCACTGGACAACACAGCATTTACAGTTCTCCTCCAGGCATGAATCCTGACATACCTCTTTGCCCTGTCCTTCTCATCTTCATCCATCAGTTCGTTTACACAACACAGGGCTCTGGAAGGAAAAGACAGAAATACTTACCGAAATATATTTCCTGATCTTGCTAAGAATATCAAAATATGGAGCTTACTGGTTTGTACTTTAAAGCCTCCAGGATGTTTCAATCTTCCCTTTCCCAAACTTCACTCTTGTTATGTACTTCCTTGCTTGCTCGGTCAGCTACTGAGGCTTGAGGAGTGAAGCCGTTTAGCTACACTCCCATACAACTACAATAACCACGACCCTGGAGGGAAAGAGCTGCAAGCCAGCAGCCCTTCAACCTGCCTTTGTACTCCCCTCTGCACCAGGATAGGGAATCCTGCTGAAGCACTTCACTCTGCACAGGAGTCAGCATCTTCCCTGCAAATGTGAGAGCCGATTTGACACTGATGTCTGTACCAGGCAGCACCTCGCCTGGCCCTGTTTTGGGAAATCACAGGCTGCCAGTTGATTTCAAGCACTGCACTGCTTGAAATACATCTGAGACTTCTTTCCCAGTGGAAGGACATAGGAGAAAGAAAGAAACTGTGCTAATCCCCTAAAGGATTAGTATTAGGCCAAGCAGGGTACTGTCAGGATATCTAAGAGATGATATGGTAGACAGGTTCATCCAAAGCATCCTGCAGCCAATGACTGCTGCTTGAGCCTGTGGACTTCCCCCCCCATCATCTGAGCTGCGTCCTAGCATTGGGGTTCACACCCAAGACTTCAAATTAAAATTTCCTCACCTGGCACTAAGCAAGGAAAAGAAGGGAATGTGACCTGGGTTCCCCGGATTCTATATGTTCCTACATCAGAACAGCCATTTTGAGCTGCTGCCTTCGCCTTACCTGTTCTTGCAGCACAGGTAAGGAGAACAGTTGGCAACAACTTCCTGTAAGGACACAGTGCTCTCGAGCCCCATTAAATGATGGAAAAATCAACACAAGTGTAACTTCTTCACTGGTGCTTTGCTTTCTGTGACTCAGATGAGCTAAGTCCGAGGGGCGGGAAGCCAGGCGGGTGCAGGTGAGACAGCTGCCGTCACTCCATGCTGCGTCGCCTGGGTCAGCTCTGCTGGGTTTTACCTCCCTCAGAGACCTCCAAAAAGGAAACCACACCCTAACCAGCATCAGCACCAATCTGCCTCCACCTCTAGCGAGCACTTTCCCTGCAAACCCCTCCCACGTTGCCCAGCACCCAAGGAGCATTTTTCAATAGGTACATCCAAAAGATTTTTTCTGTTTTGAGACTACTCCAAGCTCAAACAACTTGGCGGCTATACAAGGAGCACAAAATAAAACCACCCACAACTGACAGGACACCAAAGATGCTGCTCACAGTAAAAGCTACAAAATTTTATCCTTCCTTCCCTGCTCCAGGGCAAGGATCTCCCTCCCTGCAGACGACCTGGGCAGAAGAAACTGTATGGATTCTTTTGTTCCAAAATATGAATGCACTCCATGGGGAGGGAGTGGTTCTTACTGCTTGAGTCACCAAAAGCTACAAGCCAAATTAGAAATTACCTGTTCTACTCCTCAGATTCATCAGTCCAGACTGACAGAGTGGGCTTAGCACTTCTTATCACCATGTAAATAGAGACGGAGAAAAATTAATCCTGGAATGAAAAGCAAGTCCAGTTAAAACACAGTTGCAGGCAAGACATCCTAGAGAGCAGCAATCACTTCAATCTGAGAAAAGTCTACCACCACAAATTAGAAACATGCTCAAGTATGACTGATGGAAGCTCAGCAAAGCCTCCAGCAGTGGGAGCTGGACCAAGTTCTTGGGCTCCTGGCCGAGAACTATATCTGTGGGCACTACAGCCACCACAGAAGCAGCCTGGGAAAGCCAATGTGACCTCTCATGTGCAAAAAGCCATGTGGCCCAGCAGGGAAGGACACACAAGAAGCTGGCTGGAAAACTGCTACAAGGGACACATGTCAGGCGAGTGCATTGGAGAGGGCAGCCAGGACAGGGTGGGGACATTGTGAGGCTGAAGCTTAACACCATGAGCAACACAGATCCTGGAGAGTGATACAGTGACAGGACTTGCAGAGGAAGTTTAGGTGAGTAACTCAAGAAAACAGTCCAAATTCCTGTTCACTGACAATAAATGCAATTATGTCAGTCCGTGTGCTCAAAAAAAAAAAAATTGCCTCAGATAAAGTGATACAGTCACTGTAAACAGTAATATGGAAGTTACTGCAAGAGGACTGCATCTTCTGACACAGCAGAAGTACAAGGGTAAAATATAAAATATCTGATGTATTTCAGTGGTAAGTGAACCGGTAAAAAATGGAGTTGGGATGAAAGGATTATTTTCAGTTTGGAACATGAATTTCCAGAGAAATTATCACACAACTCCTGGCACCCTCAGTGAAGTTGCAACTGAAAACAACACCTGAGTAGCAAGTTTAAACTTAGAGGATCTGCTCTGCTTCTGTTCTTTCTCAGCAGTTGTACGCTGGTCAAGTTACATGCTTTTATTCCAGTTCAAAAGGAGTGTGTGATCTTATTTGTTACCCTACTGAGCTACTGCAGAGCCAAGGTGCTTATCACAGTCACTGCTGCTCATCCATCAGTTCCGTTCTACCACAACCCTACAGCTGTTTCTCTTCTAGAAGAACAATCCCTACAGAAGTTCTGGCGACCTGTGATAAATTCAGACATACGTAGATATAAAGGAAACTCATTTAAAGCAATGGGTTAAATTATGAAAAAAAAAAATGCTTGTGGATACACAAACAGATCTACCACAATTTTTCAGGGAACGTTCTTTGTATCCAGACTTAAGCAAGCAAAAATTCAGCCAAAGAAAAGGATTCTTCCCGAGCTTGGAGTGCAAAGCCTTATGTAGAAACTTTGCCCGTATGCTGCCCAACAACTGAAAACTCCCGGGAAGCCTGGCGGGTTTTCTGCCTCGTTCACATGGTTGGCCTGCCAGCCAACTTGAACAGCAGCAAGCTGAGGGAAGTTGTTTGGTCACCAAGAGAGTCAACACTCCAGTCATTGCTCACTGAGTCTAAACTGGGGAATGCAGAGCGGATTCTCCCGTCTCCAGCAGCAGTTATCACACCCTGCCGCAGCAGGGCTGGTGTGAGGTGCCAGGGGCAGAGGGGAAGATGAGGCTTCCTAATGGATGTGAGCGATGCCCTCAGGCAACACCAGACTTCGAGGTGCTAACAGAACACATGGCCATAAAAGAATTCACAGGCCCCAACACAAAGAGAAGCTTTTTGCATGATGCAGCAGGATGGTGAGCTAGAAAAAGTCTTAGTAGAAGACACCTAAGGACAGAATATTCTTAATCGGATTAAGCACTTCAGGACTACATTTAGCTAAGTGCTTTTTGTCTTGTTATGAGACAGAGCTAAATATAGTAACCAGAATACTTAAGAATAGTTTCATAAGGGTTGTACACACTCCTCAGCCAGATAAGGCACTTAGCACTACTGACAGCAGTATGTCTGCAGGTTAAGACTATTTTAAATAGCTCCAGATAGAATCTCTTTGACCTTAACTGTATTAACCAGAGGGATCAAAATTTATTTATTGCCTACTGAAAATCCTCTCCCTCCCTTAGACAGAGGGATTCCTGAACTCTGTGGGCAGGTAAAGAGGAAACTAGTCCATGTTGCTGGCATCATTTCTCACCCCACTTACAACAGGTGAGGATCAGCTTTCTCACAAAGCAGTGCACATCCATCACGCTTAATGCCCTCTGTAAAAGGAAAAGAATTGTTTTCTTTCTTTGTACAGGGAGTCTCAAAAAACATTCATAGCATTGTAAGGGCATGTTATGGTTTAGACTTTTCAAATACCACAGTATTTGAAGTTGTTTCCAGGGTTACAGAAAGGGTAATGCAGCCAAATGACAGCCTTAACAAGACAAATGGACTTCACAAACACACAGCTAATAGTTAAAGCATTACTCCATGTTATCTGCAATATTCTGGCCCATTTTTAACTGAAGAGAAAATGGAAGGGGGAATTTTTTAAAAATTCTTTGTTTTGCAGAACTGTCTGACTTCAGGAGCTATCTAAAACTGCAGACTTTTGACTAAAGAAAATGTTCATTTATTGACTTGCTGCAAATCATCAAAATATTAACATTACCTTAGGATAACTCTTAATGGAACATCACATTAGTAAGAATTATGCCCTGAAACCAACAGTTCCTATGAATGCTTCATTATAGATTTAGTTTAAATTATTTGGCTTTGTCACTAATGGCAAGGCAAAGATCATTCTATGTGTGATGCTGCCCATCGCCTCATGATCAGCAATGAATGAAGCTTTCACTGGTCACCTAAAAAGGGTCCCTAAAACCAAATGATTGGATTGCTTTTCCCAACCATAACAGCTGGTCTAATGAAAAACATTCACTATGCATAAAAACTTTGTTTTGCTTGTATTAAAATTTTCATGGAATTTTTCATTTCAGTAACACGCGGCAGTTAGGGACTCTTCAAATCTGCAATGTAGGAAATATTTTAATCATGGAAATGTGCTGTGATAATAATTTCCACAGATTTTACATGCAATGAATTAATCAGAGAGCCCTCAATTACAACATGCAGCACTGTGTGGCACAATGCAGCCATAAATAAGGGAGTTAATGCATTCTCCAGCAATACGATTTATATGTCAGTATGCCAGTGTTTCATTCTTCTTGAGGCAACAGGAGGGCATGACTGTGGTTGGCAGCTAAACAGCCGATTTCATTGTTAAAAGACAGAATTTATCCTCCTCAGTAAAGTGCTACTGATTCAACAACAAGATGCTTATGCAAATGGCATCTGAAAAACCAAACAGTGCGGCTGAATCTTTATGGTTGTTTAGCACAGAAAGGATCAGCACCTCTGCTGATGCCCAGGAGCACCAGAGCCCTGACCCTGGTCCTGTGCCACCTGCCTCTGGGCATTCTCCTGTCACACAGAGCATGGAGGAAAGCCATGGCAGCGGCTCTCACAGCCCTCCTCTGCAAAGGCCTTTCTCTTATTCTGAGTAGTCTCAACAACAAACTTGCCCATGTTTGGGACAAATGTTTGGAGTGGGCAGTAGCAGCAGTAGCTGTTCAGCACAGCTGTGGCATTCCCCTCCACCTGAGAATCCCACAGGGCACAGCCTCACCACAGCTCTGTCACAGCTTAGTGTGAAAGCACCACACAGACATGTAAAGGCTAAAGCAGGTGTGGCAGCTGCATATCTGCGTTATTTGATCTGCTTGCTTAATTTTTTCTGCTTGCATTTCACCCTCTATTTTCCTTGCCATGCCTTGCCTTCTGTTGTTCTTCACTCTTTCCTGCCCTTCTTCCACTTATCCCCCTTAGTTAACATCTATTGGACTGCAACTCAGAGAATCAGATCTTTCTTGAATGTACTTTCTCTAGGTCTTGTTGTTTCTTATATCACCTCCCTTCATCTTTCCACTGCTGCTGCTTCTCTGTGTTCTTCCCTTTCCCTTTCTCAAAAGAGAAAAAAAAAAATCTTACAGTGATCTCAGTTTTGACAATCACTCAGCCCTTTCACTGTGGGAACTTGGCTTGCCCAGGTCTGAGGCACACACAGCTATCAAGCTCTGTTTAGGGACACACTGCCTTAGGGATCATGCTAATGGGGATCTGAGGGGTGTTGGCTCCCACACCACACTGGCTTCAGGAGCACTGGGTCCTGTCCTGCCTGATAGCTCCCAATCCCAGTTTCAGACCCTCTTCTGAGGAACTGGGATCTCCCTCAGTTCAGTGGTAGTGCTGTGCAGCTCCAAACTTTACAGAAACACCACCCTACATCCACACCACGGGATGGCTGAGGGAAGTGGTCCAGCACAGCACACCCATCCATGGCAGCTAACACATCCTGTCAGTCTTTTGGGGTGTCACAGCACACACAGACATGCCATGACTGTACTTATATTTTCACACAACCTCTCTGTTTACTGGAACATGGGTGGTGGTGGTCAGTCAGTGAAGGAACCAAATGTTCTGTGTTCCCCCTTTGTTAACTTGTCAGAAGTGGACTTTTCGTGCCACTATTGTAACTACTGCATCTCAACACACTCACTTATCTACAGCCTACTCTCTCCTGGTTTATTGAGCTCTAAATTTAGCTTGTTACCTGTGACAGATTTATAACTACATTCATTTTAACAGTATCAGCTTCAGACAGAAGCTAAGAGGTGCCCAAAGAAAATGGATTATACAAAACAATTACGCCATAAAAAACGACTGTATCAGAACACTGTGATTCAGCACAGAAGTGAAATAAAAGATACAGGGAGGAACAATAGTGATGTGTTGGGTTTTTGTTGGTTTCGGCGTTTGTTTGGTTTTTTTACCAGCATATGGTGTTTCTGACAAAAGAAAGGCAGAAAAACATTAAGAACTAACAGATACTTGAAAACAAAAGACGAGTGTAACGCTTTGTTCTCTAGGATTTTTGTCAGATCCTGGTGAAAATAGCTGGCCAAGTTTGTTCTGTTCTAGCAAATTACTGAACCTTGCAGAGTAAAGAGACAACATTGTAGAATATTATTCATAATGTCTCTGGGGTTTCTGTAACAAGAAGAGCATGCATCTAATTAATTCTACCAATTTGTCTAATAGCCCCTTAAAATTCTCACAGCACGGCAAAATGCAGAACTGCTGATTCACCACCCCAAGCAGTAGAAAACTATACTTCTCCTGGCACAAGGAGGGAAGGATCAAAACACATATGCACATAATACTTCCCCTGCAGTCTTGGATGAATACCTGCATTCATTTCTGGCCATTCAGTTACTACAGGAAAGGTAAATGCGTGTTGTAGTATGAAACGATGATATCCAACCAATAAACAATTCTGTTAACACACCTGACTCAGACACAGAGCCAAATAATCCTCAAATAATAACACAGCTTTCCTCGTCGTGTAGGATGGGAGCAAAGACAGTTGTCCACAGTTAATCCTTCATCAGCAGTTGAGATGTGTGTTTTCATGGAACTACTTCCAGGAAAGGTACACAGAGATAAAGAGAAGGCAGGAATATTGAAAGCAAATGGTCAAAAGTCTTTTGAACAGAACGTTCTCCAAAATTTCCAGCTCTCAAAGCTCTGCTTCTGTGTGCAAATGCATGCGTGTGTGGGTGAGTGCATAGACACACATATATATAAACACATTTTACTTCAGAGCAATTTGCAAAAAAAAAAAAAAAAAAAAAATACTGAGAGCAATTTCTGCCCAGGAAAGCAGTGGTGACATTCAGGATGACTCCTGCAGTGCTCACCTCCTGATGCTGAGAGTTAAGTAACCATTCCTGCTGGGTGCATGGGAAGGGAGGTGAGCAGGGCTCCCTCGCTCCTGCCTCAGGCCACTTCCTATCATGTTCACTCCTCTGGCAAATCACAAAGGAGCAGGGGGTGTGGGAAGGTTAACCCAATAAATTTCAGCAATGAAAATAGTGGCTTAACAAGCTAAGAAAATCCCTCCCAAAGCCATTGGTTCTGCAGCTTAAGCAATTTGAACAGCATCTGATCACAAACCTGGCATCGAAATTCCAGCTCATTTCAAGGTTTCATTTGGAATAGTTTTAACACTACCAGAGCAAACAAGCTAGGAGCATTTTTAAAAGAAGCCAACACTCTGCTATGTCAGCAGAGTTATCTCCTGCCTGCAAAGAGGGTGCTGGGCACCCTGACACCTCCTGCTCTGTTTTCAGGGATCACCAGCTGGAGCGTCTCCCTGGGAGGTGCTGTGTGTTACTCCCACCAAGAGGACACAGTTTGCATCAACTGCATTGATGGCATTAAGTGAGGTTATCCCGTCCTTTTTCGGGTTTGGATTTTGTTTTGGCAACTATGTAGATACTAGGACAAACACGTCAAAGCTGCCTTTTTGGATGTGTTACCCTGAAATCCCTCTTGTAATTTCTCTTCTCTTCTGTTTACTATGGGTGAAACTCAGCCTAAGCAGAGAGCCACAGAAAGTCTGTGTGTCATTAAACTGCCTGCTTTTGTGCCTTATGTTCTCTCTGTGCACAGAATAAATGTAATCATTAGATAGCAAAGAAAACCAGCTATCTAATTAAACTAAATACCTTCTCGTCTACTTTTCTCAGTAAGAGAACACCCCCAGCAACTACCAGTTCACTGAAAGAGGAAATAGTAGCATTCATGTCTTTAGCTGTTCCCTTTTTCTCCTAAAACAATACATTTTTGCTTTGTTTCTTTGCTTTTCTCTGTTTTGTATATAAAATGCATTTCAGATGCTCGAGGATGGCACAGATGAGGAAACGAGCACTTCTGCTTTAGTTTGTTTGTGCTGGAGGTTGAACTCATACTGCAAAAACAAATATTAAGGCCTGAAGGCTGCTTGCCTTGCACAGTAAAACAGGGGTCAGGAGGGGGTCCCAGGTGGTTCCAGGACCACACTTCCAAAGTGCTCTGCTCCAGGAGGGGAAAAAGACTGTGTTTGACTTGGCTTCACATTCCACCTTCTCCTGGGTTGCAGGACCAGCAGATGGTGGGAGCTATTTATGGACTGGAGGATTTTCTTTCAAACTTGAACATCTTCTGTCTACAATCATTACTCCCCGGCTATCACCCTATAACATGCTGTGGCTCACTCCAAAGCCCAGTAGCAACCACAGTCGATCTCGGAGTCAGGATGCACGTGTGGAAGTGACGTACCTATCACCCATGAAAGCAAGAAGAGTGTAGCAGCTCCATAGCCCATTTCATGAAAGGAGTCTGATACTTTCAGGACTCTTCTGCTACCTGACCAGGTATTTAGCATAGCTACTCCACACCTGCACAGCAGGTCTGCCCCTGTCCAGCACACACAGACTGTATGTGACACAAATCGGAGCCTGCTGGAAGCACACAGCTTGCTACACCCGTGCTGCCCTGACCATGATCAGTGCTACGTGTCTGGATCTCTATTTCAAGAAAGGGCAATTCAGCTGCTCCTCTGCTGCCATTGGGCAGCAGGTGGGAAGGCAGCTGGAAGGGCTGGAAGCTGCACAGACAGTCTGTAGACAGCAGGCAACCTTCGCTCTGTCATTTCTGCACTTCCTTAGATCTGCTTGGTCCTCCACACAGTCTGGGGAGTCCTTCAGCCGGTGACGTGGGAGGTCTTGGAAGTCTGGTCCTTGTTCAGCATCCTTTGATTTCTACTGAACAAGGTCTACTTTTCTGATGCTTTGCAAGCAGCTTGCTGCCATCCTTTCTCCTCTCTAATGCTTTTACATCAGGAAGTCTCGGCACACTCTACAAACACAGTTATCCATCCTTGCTTGTACAAGTGAGGAAACAGGGCCACACATTTTACTTCTGTCTCTTTTTTACGAGTGTCCCAGTTTTGGGAAGCTGAATTTGAAACAGTAAATGCAGTTACAGCCTAATTTTCAGTAATACTGAAACCCAGCCTAAGCACCTACAAATACTAAACATTTTGGAAAAGCTTGACCTAAATCATTGACCTAAGGTCACGCAGCAGAGTTAAGAAGTGAATCCAGATGTCCTGATGATTAGCTCTGTCTATTGGCATTGAGTCAAGTCTTCCCTCCTAAAATAAGCTTCCTGAAGCATCTAAGACTATAGTCTTAGAACTCTGTTAAATAAGCAGCACTGGTAAGACCTGATTTTCAAATGAAGGAGGGGGAAAAAAACCCCAGTTCATTATTTTTCCCTCAAGTGATCACTGACTGACCAATGAAAAGGCAGCTCATAGTCATTTGATCTCAAACTTCTTCCTATAAATAAAAAAAAAGTGAAGATTCTTCTCCCTGTTCAAACAACATGAAGAAAAAAATGTTCTGCTTCAGTAATCCTAGACCTGAGTAATTAAATCTGCTCTCTGTTGCAATCTGTTTCCCATGTATATCACCGGCCTGGAATTTCTGGAACTTAATACATAAGGAAGTTATTCAATAAAGGGAAATACTATGGCAAAAGGATTACAGATAGGTCTGAATCAGACTGAAAGTCTCTCTATGACAGAGAAGAATCCAGCTCCTGATCAAGATTTCAACTTTTTGATTTCAGACAAAAATCTCAAATCCAAAGACTGACAAAATGGATCTGCCAGAGTCACCTCTCACCTCTGGTTCGGAGGCAGAAGAGATGAGAAAACAGGTTGAGGAGACCTGCAGCTGTATTGCAGCAGGAGAGGAAGAGCACTAGCTGTCTGTACTGTTTAACTGCTCAGTAGAATAGAATAGAATAGATCAGAATATTTCAGTGAAAAGAGACTTAGAATGATCATCTAGTCCATGTGCCTGACCACTTCAGGGCTGACCAAAATATAGTATTACAAGCACTGTCCAAATGCCTCCTAAATGTTGACAAGTTTGGGGAATTGACCACCTCTCCGGGTGGTCTCTCTAGGAAGCCTCTTCCAGTGTTTGACCACCCTCTCCATAAAGAAAAACGTCCTAATGTCCAGTCTGTGTAAAAGACCTGTGAGAAAATTATAAAGAGCTTTAGTAGTTAAAATTCAAATTCTCCCATGCAAGCTTACTTAGAGTTTTATCTACTTATCCATTAAATGAATATCAAAGGATTCACTGCAGCTGAGCTAACTGACCTCATTTTACATCTTTGGCCTCCTGCGTTCAAGTTCAAGCATGAGGAACTTCTTTATACTCCTGGTGTATTTAATTCTGGAGCATTCCAGGTATAATGTGCACCTAAATCAAAAGGAATTCAAATAAAGCCTTAGGTTTCACAATTTGTCTTATCCTCATTTGGCTCCCAGAATTTCAGCTGCTCTCCTTAAAAGATCTGCTCACATCTGCTCTCCAGCTGAGCCATGTTCATGCCCCACTGACCTTACCGCTGCCATCCTCTGTAATCTTGCAGCTGAGAATAACCAGCAATGCACTCAGTCCCTGTAAGCATCAAGAGCCTTTCAAGAAGGAGGAGGCAGAAAAGAACCAGCCTTTATATAACAGGGAAAAGAAGGATTTCAGAGAAAAAACATTGTTCAGCCAAGGTGAGTAATGGGAGCTGCACGCCTGAAGTGCCCTGGTTCAGCTCCCTCGGGCAATGGGAACTGGAGGCGTCAGCACCTTGCAGGATTATACCCTGCAATGGCAGCTGGCAGATATTTTTCTAATAGAGAGCACAGCAGCATCATTCACACTCATTTGATTCTATTTGCTGCTGTTCCTATTCAAACCCTGCTAATCCGATCAAGGCCTGTGCCTTAAAGCTGAATAAGTAAACACCTTTCGTAAGGTCTAAGCCCACTTGTTTCAAGTGTATGATTAAGGGCTAGACTTGAGCATTGTTGTGAGAAAACTCCCCTCATCACTCGCAATTTCCAAAATCACTCTCAGGTGTCTTGAAGTGGCACTTTTCCATCCAGTGTTTTACTTCCCGCATTACAAATATATAACACGGTCGCAAAGGGGCCCGAACACCAAATATACGTTTGTGTTTCAGCTGCCCTAAAGAAGTGCTCTTTGAGCTGAGAATAGCTCATAATGGTACCACTTAGACACCACCATGCAAAATATTTTCTGTGGCTACCAGACCTTCTCCACAGATGTCTCCTCTTGTTTGCTGTGAAGAAGACAGATGATAAATATAGGTCAGCAAATGCATTTTGGACAAAGTCATACTCATTTGTAGTATTTGCATTAAGTAACACTAGAAGACTTAAGCAACAGAGAAGATGTTGATCCAACTATAATTCCACCACTGGTACACCAAGGATGGATTTGAACTATTGAAATTTACAAGTTTTTTTTTCCAGAAGAATTGCTGCCACTTATGCTGGTATTGCTAATAATATAACTGGTATATTGCTAATAATATAACCGGTATTGTTAATAATATAACTGGGTTTTGTCCTTTTTTAAAACACCCACCCACACACACTTTTCCTTCTCTTCTCTGAGGCACTTTTAACTTTACATCCAATATTCTCTTTTGCACTATCTTGCACACATCACTTCTCAACTAACTCCTCACAAGACAGTTATTTGTTTTGAAAGCTTCAGGAATAAAAAAGGAATATTTAAACAATTAACTGCAATCATATTCATCATTCTGTATGGTACCATTAATATGTACTACAAACATAATG